GCCGCGGGCCTCCCCCCCCCCCGGTGGGCCGCACGCGCCCCCCGTTGATTGCCCCCCGCAGATCGCGATCGCGGCTTTTTTTTTTTTTTTTTTTTTGTTCTGCTTGGGGCGGCCAAAACCCTGGAGCCGGCCCTGTCTATGGGCCCAACCTGTGAAGTCCAAACCCAGGGGCAGACTTTTGAAAAGCTTGGTAGAGGGGAGAGATCAAATCCAAACCCATTGCTAATAAACACGCTCGCAGCCTTGTCTAAAAGGCCAGCAGTAGCTGAATGATGCTTAATGTGGAAAGGAGTACAGATGGTTTTGTTTCTGAAGAACTTGAGTGCGCTTTCCGCATGGGGGTGAGGCATAACTGCCTAGGGGTCAGCTGTACCACCCACCACTCACAGAAGCAAATCTCTGCTCCAGCTGAGAGGGAGGAGAAGGCAGATTTAGAATTGCAAATAAAGCATTAAACTGAAGCTCCTGGCATAAAACTCGGCCTAATTAGAATACTTCCGGCAGATGCATCCCCCCGAAGCAATGACATGGGTTGCAAAGGGGCAAAGTACCTTTTCAAACAGAGTGTAACTCCTGCAGAAAGAGTGCCTCAGGGTGAAATGAAGGCCCTTTACCCAGAATACTTCTTGCCTTGACCTGATACCAGGCACCAGGGTCCTAGCAGCCACATGCTTAATGCTGTCAACTGCTTCTCCCACAGCAGATATCTTCAGTATGGATCTCAACAGCTAGACAGTGATTTAGGCCCTGGTCTACACTGGGGGGGGGGGGGGAGAATTGATCTAAGTTACGCAACTTCAGTTACATGAATAACGTAGCTGAATTCGACGTACTTAGAATGACTTACCGTAGTGTCTTCACCGTGGTGGGTCGACTGCTGCCGCTATCCCATCAACTCTGCCTGCGCCTCTCGCGGTGCTGGAGTACAGGAGTCGACAGGAGAGGGCTCGGGGGTTGATTTATCGCAGGGATTCTCAAACTGGGGGTCGGGACCCCTCAGGGGGTTGCGCGAGGTTATTGCATGGGGGGTCGCGAGCTGCCAGTCTCAACCCCAAACCCCGCTTCCCCTCCAGCATTTATAACGGTGTTAAATATATTTAAAAGTATTTTTAATTTATGAGGGGTCACATTCGGAGGCTTGCTATGTGAAAGGGGTCACCAGTACAAAAGTTTGAGAACCACTGATTTATTGTGTCTAGTCTAGATGCGATAAATCGATCCCCGTTGGATCGATCGCTGCCCACCGATACGGCGGGTAGTGTAGACATACCCTTACACGTTTAGGCAGGGAGTTTTAGTCAGAGTGGAGACAGTCTGTTATTGGTGGGCTGCTTCTCAGTTTTTTAGGGCACCATCAGTTGTACCATCAGCTGCCTGGTGTATTGGAAACAGAACTTTGGCCCCACAACACTCTGCATCTGCCAGTAGAACTGACTCACTTCTTCTTAGCGTATGCGCAACAACGTGCCTCAGGTGGCACATGACCAGGATTCATCACCGAATTTGGTCCACTGGTTAGATCATTAGCTTTCCCGGCTTGGGTTGGGTACTGATGGGGAGTGTGATGTAAATGCTGATCCATGCACCCTGCTGACCCGGTGTGAAAGGAAAACATGTGCTATATACCCTATGGGTGGGCATGGTAAGAGAGGGGGAAGAGACAGGATTCCTAATTAGCATAGAATTGCAATGCATACTAGAATGATGCCCCCAACTCACCCTGACCTAAAATGATACAAATGCTGCAGCCTCGTGTACTGCCTTTGCTGCTGGCTCACTGGGAAGTTCATCACTACGGTCACATGCTGGGTATTTATCATTCATGCTCAATACTTTGTGGAAGGTCTGAGAGCCAATAGCTGCCCTGTGGGTATCAGCGGATACAGATGGATGAGTTTATTAGTAAGGCTGGGCCCTGGCTTGGACATATGCCTGAGAAGCTGAGGGAAGAGAGGGTCTTTCTCCCCTGGAAGATGCTCACCTCCCAAGGGTTTGGGACAGACTTGTTGCTGAGCTCAATGGGATGAAGTGTAGCTAATGCCATGTATGGTCCTCATAATCCAATTCAGATTATTTTCCCTCTGATTCTTTTTATCCAAGGCCACAGGAGACAACTTTTTATTTATATACAGCACAACATTAGTCTGGGACACTATTGCTACAGTCAAACAGTACCAGCACACAAACTAAGCATTTATCTGTTTGTATGGCCAATCACAACAGTCATCACTACATTCACTAGTACTTTCAATTTAAAATATATATATACTGTACTAACGCCATCAGTTTGGAAGGACTGTAAATTCACATGCTTCAAGACCAACCAGCAATTCCAAGGGGTTAGAAGCACCCTTTCTCTGAGGGTACGTCTGCACTGCAAATTAAAAACTGACTCAGGCTTCCCAGGCTAAGGCTGCAGGGCTGCTTCATTGCTGTGTGGACTTCCGGGCTTCACTAGCCACCGGGCTCTAGGACCCTGCGAGGTGGGACGGTCCCAGAACCTGGGCTGAGGCTTGAGCCCGGAAGTTTAGTCTACACCCAATCAAACAACTCTGCAGCCAGCGGATCCTGCGAGCCCGAGTCAGCTGGCACGGGCCAGGGTCCGGGTTTTGAATTGCTGCATAGACATACCCTGTCAGACAGGTTTATTCAGATTCGCTGTGGGGCTCCTTCCATTTCCCCTCTGTAGCATTCAGTACTGGGAAGCGCCTGACACAGGATACCAGACTACATGGACCCCTGCTCTCACCCACTATGGCAGCTGCTAAGAGGAAAACATTTTCAAAGAAGGTTTCAGCACTAGTCTCACTGACCCTCGATCTCCCCCCATGTCCCTCACACACTTTTACTAGTAGAGTCACTGATCACCTCCCACGACACTCACATGCTGCATTTCTGCTGGGGTCTCCTCCAGAGCATATATCACCTGGCGTCTGCAGCAGCCTGCGCTGGGATAGCGTGCAGTATGGGACAAGCAGACAGACAGGAGCTCTTCGGAGCAGGCAGGCCCAGGGGGGTGTTAGTCTGAGTCAGATTGTGACCAGTGCCGGAGGGGCAGAGGGGAAGCAGAGGAAGGGCAGGGTACAAATAACCCAACTCGCTCTTTCCTGGGTGTGCACAGAGAGCACCACTAATAGAAACCGACGCTGCACCAGGAGTGAAAGAATGAAAGGAGTGAAAGTCTCCCAAACACAGAGGAAATTATCTCAGTTCCCAAGCAAGTTATGAGAACCAAACGAAGAAAAGCATGTGCACTAAGTTATGCACATAGCTAGAAAGATGATATGGACTTTAAGGGAGCACGCAGGTTATGGCATTCCTGTTGAATTTTGCTATCTTCAAAACACGTGACAAGGGGTTATTATAACAGGTGGTTTCCCAAAGAGGGTGCTGTGGTATGATAGTAGCATAGGTACTGTACAGGGTGCTGTCTGGAAACTTGGTAACTTCTACAGTACTTTTAGGAAGGTTGTGATCGTTACGAGGGCTTGTTGCGACGAGAGGACTGTGTACGTGGAGGAAAGAACAAAGCCTGAACGTTGTACTGTCTTGGCTCACTCACGTCCCATCTCCTGTTTCAACGCTGAACATCTCATTAACATACCTTTGCAATGCACATTGGGATTTTGTTTGTCTATGGGCATGTGATTGTATAAAGGCATTTGAAAGCATAAATCCTGAACGTTGTACGGTCTTGGCTCTCTCGTGTCTCTTGCTGAACCACTGAACCACTAATTAGCATAGACTTGCAAAGCACGATGGGAGTGTGCTTCCAGCTCATCCTGAGCTTAAAGTTCTAGCTAGGGGGAGCCTTATATAGTATTCAACTACCTATTTCATCCAGTCAGAGGGAAGCTCACCACTGAGGTCACATGCAGGGTGCTAGTCACTCGGTGTTCCATACCTCTGGGAAGGTCTGAGACAAGAGCCATTAGCTGCCCTTGCAGGGCATCACCTGCTGCAGGTGGATGAGTTACCAGCTATGTTGGGCCCTGGGTGTCGGGCAAATTGGGCAGGAGAAGCTAGAGGAAACCCCCTAGTGGATGCCCAGCCCCCTCCCAAGGGTTTGGGACAGACTCATGGCTGGCACCACTGAGTTCAATGGGATGAGGTGAGACCCCAGAGGCCTCATAACCCAATTCAGACTACTCTCCCCCTGACTATTTTCTTACAAGACACAGTTTTAAATCTACTGCCACAGGGAATGTTGTTAGCACCAAAATCAGACAATCATTGAATGTAAAACCCCAATCTGTGGAAGCATATAAATCCGCATCAAGCACCTGCAGTTTTATCTCCGATAAGCAGGTTTTTCAAATTCCCAACTACGGAACCTACTCTCTGTAGCATTCAGTACTGGGAACTGGCTACTGGAGATGGACTTCTGCTCACACCCACTATGGCAATTGCCCAGGGAGATGTTTTCAAACATTCCTTAAGGATTAAGTGGAAAAGTCCCATTGACACTCAGTACTTTGGAAAATCTCCTATGTGCCTAACACCATATGCTAGCTAAGGCTGTAATCACATCCCACCACTCATCATGCACAGCACTAGATTAATTCAGCTGGGGTTATGTCTAAATCAATCAATCAATACTGTGGCCTCCAAGGGCCATAGCATTACACAGTGGGGGTTATTAGTATTAATTATTGAGACTGCAGGAGCATCCAGACTCCCTAGGCAGGATCAGGGCCTCACTGTACCAGGTACTTTACATGCCTGTATGAAGGTGGGGTCTCTCCCTAAAGAGGATACAATCCAAGAGCGTTATCCTGCAAGCCTTACACACACACACACATCACAAACATGAGTTTTTCAGACCAAGACCTCCACCCTGCCAGCCAGCACCTGGTACCTTTCATTCATCTGTGCAGGTGCTACTATCCCCAGTGAGCTGGGGCTCCCCCAGAGCATACTGTCAGGGTGGGGTGTGGAGCAGAGTGCACACACAGGAGAGGCAAACGAGCAGCAGCACCCCAGGACAGGCCGTGGGGTTCTCCCCCACAGTCAGAGCATGCCAGTCCATTTATGGGGGAGGGCACAGAAATTGGAGGGCACTCCCAGCCCCTCCTCTCCTTGTCACTGCCTCCCCCGATGCACAGACTTTGTGCAATACTAAGGCATGAAAGAACATTCCATTCCCAAACCCAGGGAAATATATCTTTGACCCCAATCAAGTTTAGAGATGGTGCATAAGAAAAGAGTATGTGAGTTATATGTACATGATGATTCAGTCTTTAAAAGCATATAATATAATATTAACTATGTAAGCAGATTATGGAATGAATGATTATTTTTTGCTATCTCAAATAAATGCAATAGAGATTTTACAATAGGCAGCTTCCCAGCAACAGGGGGCACTATAGTGTGATTGTACACTCATATATGGGGTAAAATCTAGGAACTTAGAGAACTCTACTTTTAGGAAGGGATAGTTGAAAGATGACTGTATATATGGAGGAAAGAAGAAAGCCTGAATGTTGTACTGTCTTGGCCTCACTCCCATCTCCTGTTTCCATGCTGAACACCTCATTAACATATCTTTGCAATGCATGTTGGGATTTTGTTTGTCTATGGGCAAGTGATTGTATAAAGGCATATGAAAGCATAAATCCTGAATGTTGAACTCTCCTGGCTCTCTTGTGTGTCTTGCTGGACCACTGAACTTGCAAAGCATATACTTGCAAAGCATGATGGGTGTGTGCTTCCAGCTCACCCTGATCTTGTACTTTAAGTTTTCTGGAGCCTTATGTACTATCCTTAATTACCTCACTTTCAGGTCAGAGGAAAGCTCACCATTGAGGTCACATACAGGGTACTTGTCACTTGGTATTCAATACCTCTGGGAAGGTCTGAGAGAAGAGCCATTAGCTGCCCTTGCAGGGCATCACCTGCTGCAGGGGAATGAGTTATCAGCTATGTGGGGCCTGGGTTGGGACATGTGTGGCAGGAGAAGCCAGAGGGGATGCTTCCCTGGCAGATGCCCGTTCTCCTAAGGGCATTGGGACAGGCTCAGGCTCATGGCTGGCACCACTGGGCTCAATGGGATGAGGTGGGGCCTCATAACCCAACTCAGACTACTCTCCCTCTGACCTTTTCAGGCAAGCCCATGCTTTTAGCATTAGCACTCATTGCCCCAGGAGATCACCAGAATTCAGTAGAGACTGGATATTTATATGGATAATCCCAACATCCACAGCTACATTCAATGGGCTAATCATTAAGAAAAAGAAAAAAAATGGGAATCAATATAAACCCACATACTTCAGGTCATAAACCAACTACGATCTCATGGGAAGTAGGAAGCACCCCTAATCCCATAGGCATGTTTTTCCAAATTACTCACTGTGTGGTTCCTTGCATCCTCCCTCGGAAACATTTAGTCCTGGGAACTGTCCCACACAGGCTCTCTTACCAGCTGGACCTCCTGCTCTCACCCACTGTGGCAATTGCTAAGGGAGACATTTTAAAAATCACCTCAGCGATTTAGGAGCACAAGTCCCATAAGTCACCAAGTGCTTTGGAAAATTCTCCCTCTCTGTTCCTAACACACATACACAGGCAGAGTTACTAGTCACCTCCCGCCCTGTGCTAGGCTACACCAAACCACTAGCTGGGTGTTCTCAGCTTAATATTAATATCTGTTTCCTCTACAGCACTTTTCAGCAGTAGACCACAATGCACTTCACACTCCAATATATTTAGCCACACAACAGGTAGGAGAGTTCTATCATCTCCATGGTACAGACAGGGAACTGAGGCACAGAGAGGCTAGGTGACTTGCCCAAAGTACAGCACTGAACCTGGGTTTACTGTATTCTGGGCTACTGCCCTGAACCATCCTTCCTCACGTCCTTCCAGCCTGCCCCACTAGAGCATTGTCAAGGAGCACTGGGCCCCAGCATAGGAGCCCCTCTTTAATTCACATGTGGTTAAGTCTGATCAGTACAATACCTTCTAGGGGGCATAGCATTACAGAGCTGGCCTGATTAGGATTAATTATTGAGACTGCAGGAACATCCAGAGCACCTCGTCAGGTTCAGGGCCTCACTGTGCCAGGCACTTTACATGCCTATATGAAGGCAGAACCTCTCCCTAAAGCGGATACAATTTAAGATCCATACCCTGCAACCCCTTCACAAACAAATGAGTTTTTCTTACTACGGCAGAGTTCAATCCCACCAGCCTGCCCTTGAGGCCTTTCATTCATCTGTGTAAGCACTAAGATTGCATTCAACTGGGACTGTTACAACCCCCAATCTCCCAACAGAGCTGGGCCTCCTCCCGAGCTTACCATCAGCTTGGGGCCTGGAGCAGCCTATGTGGCTCAGTGTGGACGTACCAAACAAGGCAGACAAGTAGTTCGCCAGGATAGGTGAACTGTGGGTGGGGAGCACCGCTATTAGCCACAGTAAATGCCAGAAGGGCAGGAAGGATACTGGGCAGCAGCCATCGGTCCAGCAGCGCTCACTTGCTCAGGGCCGGTGCAACCCATTAGGCTACCTAGGCAGTCGCCTAGGGCACTAATATTTGTGGGGCGGTGACCTTGGCGGCCGGATCTTCGGCCGCCCGGTCGTCGTCGGTATTTCGGGGGAGCGGGACTTCTGCCGCCTCTGTTGGGGGTGGCATTTCAGGGGCGGGACCTTCCGCCGCCTCTGTCGGGGGTGGCATTTCGGGGGCAGGACCTTCCGCCACCTAGGGCAGCAAAAAAGCTGGCGGTGCTCCTGCACTTGCTGTGAAGGAAACTCATGCTACACCCTCTAGCTGTGGGCCTGGCAGGGAGCACCTGGAAGCACCGTGGCCCTCTGGCCCTGAATAACTCACCACTCTCCTCTCACCAAATGCTCCTGCTTTCGCCAACACTTCTCATCCAGAAATGGACTCTTACAAAGACTGGCCACAAATGCCAGGCAGCTGTGTAAGGCCCTGCTATGGCCTCAGGGCTCACAGCTCCAAAATCCTATGCACTTAGTCACTGATGTGCTTCCTACTGGTCTGTGTGTAGGGGCATTGACAAAGTCCAGCCACACACAGCACAGGCTTATATATTTGGTGGGGTACATAAAGGAATGGTCCTAACTCCCATAAGTAGCAGAAAGGAGCAGGGAACAGAGGGTTCTTAATTAACATATCCTTTCAATGCATGCTAGGATATGTTCCCAGCTGCCCCTGATCTCACAATTGCATATATACCGGAGCCTCAGACACTGCCCTGGCTGGGTGAGCCATTAGCTCAGTGGGAAGTGCACCACTGAAGTCACATGCTGCATGGTTGTTACTGACTGCCTCTAAGATGGGCTGAGACAAGAATCAATAGCTGCCATTACCTAACAGGTAGATTAATTACCAGTTTGGCTGGGATCTGGGGAGGGTCACCCATTGAGCAGAAGAAACTTACGTAGGATTGATCGCTAGCCCTGGTCGGTGCCCCCTCCCAAGGATGTGGGACAGAACTGTAGACAGCGCCACTGAGTTCAGTGGGAGGAGGTGAGGCCAGTGCCCCACCCAGACATCATAACCCAATTCAGACTACTCTTCATGCAAGGCCACAGGAAACAAAATTTTATTATATACAGAATATTATTAGCCTGTGTGACTCATTGCCACAGGATACCATTAGCAGGACTCAAGCAGGGATTGGAGGCTTATAGGGATAATCAGACCACCACAGTTGCATTCACTAGGATAAAGAAATAGAAACCCTCATGCTTCAGAGCAGAATTCAGCCCTTGGGGGACAGGAAGGAACTTCTCCAACAGGCAGGTCCTTCAATAATTATTTACTGTGGCCTTTGTTGCATCTTGTTCAGAACTATTTGGTACTGGGAACTGTCCAACACAGGATTTTTGGACTAGATGACAATTGTTGTCATCTGAATACACTTTTATTGGCAAAAGGTCTAATAACTTCCAGGGACAGTCACACTCTGCACTCGTTTGCACTGACCCATTAGCTGCAGGGTACAGCACTATAGCTGTGTATTGAGGAATTGTCAAGGAGCACCTAGACATGGGGACCTTGGAATAGCAAACCCCTTTTAACTGGCAATGTGTTTACATTTAAAAACTTTGCTATAGTGGCCTGAAAGGAACAAATCATTATTTGGATTGTTATTTTTAATTGCATGGGTAATTATTGTTAATTGTTTTGACTGCAGTAGGTAGTGGGCCAATCAGACTCTGGGTCCCAGTTGCTGTACAAACCTAGATGAAGACAAGTCCTCCACTCTAAAAAGCATACAGTCTAAGAAGCTGATCCTACAAGACTTACATACCTGCTTAACTAAGCCAGAGTAGGCCCACTGAAGTTAATGGCGTGATTCACACACTTACAGTTAAGTGTATGTCTAAGCACAGTATGAAGGATAACCAAAGAGATGGCTCTCCCCTTTCTATCATTTTCAATACATGGGGAGGCGGGTTTGGCAGGGAATTGAGAGTTTGTACATGTTTTGTGTGACTTCCCCCATGCTTCCTGAACCCCCTCTGTGCTCCCATCCACCCCTCTCTGCACCTGGGGGTCATAAAGCACAGTTGGGAAATACAGAGCTAATCCATGGTACGCTCACCGTCATTGGGACAGCATGTCTTTACAGTGACACATGCTAAATGGTTTCGGTGCCTTGCTTTCACTGAGAAGTCCTTATAAAGCAATATCCCACAGCACTAGCCAGGTTATTGCAGGGTCACTATTGCAAAGTGTAGGGTTTTAGGTGGTTGCTGTTAAATAACAGCTGAGTTGTATCTCTTGACAGGAGGGCCAGGAAATTCCAAACATTATCCAAACGCATGGACCCACAGCTCTCTGCACAGAGCGACAGAGACTGTGTATAAAAATAGCTGTTGGGCCAAATTCATCCTGGGGATAACTTTACTGAAGTCAATGGAGTTTCATCAATGAGGAATTTGGACCACAATATTTTTATTCTTTAAAACAGGTTTCCATGACAACCAGCCACTTAATTCAGGTTCATCCCCTCCAGAGGTCAAAATCAGAGGCCTAAGTGATAGCATATGTTTGATCCGTGTTGAGTTTGCCTAACACGTAGAAGACCAGGAAGCAGGGCAGTAAACGTATTTTGACTTTATTTCCAAAAACATTAAATACAAAGGCAGCGTAGGTGCTATTAGAGACCATACAAATATGTCCTTTATCGTCAGGAATCTTATACAAATGTGAAGGCACTGCAATCTCTGGCTACCCTTGAATCATCCCTGAACCATTCCCATGGCAGATGTTTTGTGGGGAGGATGCACTCTCAGTCTCCACTGGCTTTATGTTGTGATCGATGGCCCCTCTTGGCTGGATGCTGCTCCCGCCAGAGACAATTAACCTTACTCCTCCGGTTGGCCTGAGGAGGCATTTAAATGCCATGAGCTTGCTCCCACCCAGAGCTGCATGTACTGTCTTCACAGCACTCCTGGCTCTCCCCAGCCTGGGAGCAAACATGCAATCTGCACCTGATGTCCTGCATGGCAGCCAGTCAAATGGCCATACATACATTTACTCATGTTACCATTGCTATTACATGTCTGATGGAAGAGATCTGCAGTTTAGAGCCAGTCCCTGGGTCCCACCCCTGGCCACTGTGGGATTGTTCCCTGCAATATATACACCAGTGCTTTGGCCATTCCAGACTCCAGTGAGTGAAGAGGTGAGGACTCCAACATGGTCCTTGGGAAAGAATTCCCCAGACTCGGAGACATCACTGATAGGATGTTTCTTCTGAAATCCAGCCTCGATATACCTTTCCCCTTACAGGAACTTCCCTGAAAACTCCTTCCACTAGCCAATCATCACTGACTAGACACTTGGCCAAATGATGGATACCCAGTGTCAGAAAGGAGCAAATCCACCTCTCCCCAGCCTTAATATTGATGCTCTTTGCAAGGGGAGGTGTACTGGCAACATTCCTAGGGGAAAGAGGAAAAGGGGCAGAAAAAGGGCAGGGGCTCAGTACAAATGAATAGTCTGTTTCTGTCCCCATGGCAAGGACTCTTGCAACCTCTGCTCCACAGGAGACTTGGTAGACAGGCCAGGCTGGGTAGCGCCTTGTCACGGCTGGGCTGGGTAGCGCCGCTGTGAGAGCCGCTTGGGTTGGCCAAGTCCAAGGGAGGCAGCAGTGGAGAGCTGTGAAGGATAGAAATACTGTAAGTAACAGGCTAGTTGTGGGGCTGACCAAAAATGGAAGGAGCCCACAATATTTTGGCAGGCAAGATAAGAGCTTCTCCAGTTAGCGAGTCAGACACAGTTTGGGGCTGGCCCAGTTCTGTTTGTCTGGAGCGAATGCTCATGAGTGTGAGGGATGGGCAGCACTGACAGGACCACGTGTAGTGCCGGCAGGGTCTCTGCAAGCTTTCCCCAGGGAGCTCTGCCAACACAGTTCAAACCCAGCCTGCTATTCCAGCCCTGACCCCACAGACAGCTCCTGGCCTGCTGCCCCTTCCTACTCCAGCACTGGGTGTCCCTTGGCCTCACAGAATTCTCACCGTACCTCAGTAACCTAGGTCAACTGACTCGGGCTCATAGGGCTAAAAATAGCAGTGTAGACATTCCGGCTTGGGCTGGAGCCTAGGCTCTGAGCTGGGTTTCAGAGCCTGGGCTACAGCCAAGCGGGAACATCTACACTGCTATTTTTAGTTCCATAGCACGAGTCCAAGTCAGCTGACCTGGGCTCTGAGATTTGCTGCCACAGGGTATTTTTTGCAATGTAGACACACACTTAGTCTTGGCCTGCAGCACCCCCTAGGTTCTCTGGACAAGGTTCTCTGGAAATTACACAGTCAATTGAGCAGAATGTGCTCCTGCTCCCCCTTTCCCCACAGCAGACTAGGAGAAGGCACAGCCAAAACACCTGTCTTCAGTTGCCAGATGGTCCCTTCTCTAATCCACACCAAGGCTGAGGTCGGGCAGAGAATCAGGGGACCGTAGCCAGCTCCCTGATGCCCCCCACCCACCTCCACTATGCACGGTGGATCTCGACAATAGCAGAGAAGCTGGCCCTAAGTCTGCAACTGAGAGGGCTACAAGGACATCTCTCCCACATCTCTGGAGGCATCAACCATGCTCTCTCTCTCTGCCAGCTGGGAGACAGACAAAAGGGAGCATCCATGCCTCTCCCATCAGAGACTGGATGGGTCTGACTTTATCTTTGTGAGGATCCCGGCATCCCTCCTAAGTCAGGGAGCCCCTGTGTGGCGGGCCCGCTAGCTAAGATGCCCTGTGTGGTTATAAGCCAGGAGGAGCCTCCATACCTGAGGAACCTGAGCAGGATTGAAGAGTGGGACCTGCCCTCTACTAGGGGCAAGAAGGAGACCACCAGGACCAGAGAGAGGGCCATGTGAGTCAGCCTGAAAGAGGAAACAGAGGGAAAATAACAGCTGGTCCCTGCTTTGGGGTTCAGAGAAGCCAAAGGAATATCCTAGGTCACGGGGTGGGAGAGATAGACAGGGCTGGCAGAAGATTCTCCCTGTTTCCTCTGACACAGCAAACCACAAACAAAGGAGCCGTCTAACCTATCTCCCCCTTCCTGTTCCCTCCCACACACTAAAGATCCTCCCACCAAAACAAGAAATAGAAAGAACAAGAATCACCCCACACTTACAGAGCCTGCCCTCGTCCCTCACCTGGCCTCCAGCCCCAGGAAAGGCTGCTGATTCCCTGCCATCGGGGCCCTGCAAGCCTTTAGCTTCATTCATAGCTGCGGAAACAAAAAGGAGATTTCTAAACGTTTGGTTCATTCCAGGATCGTGTGACCAAAACAACCTTAGCAACAACATGGGCCTGCTTCCAAAAAAGGACAGCGCTCGTGGCCTCTCCTGTATTTACCTGAGCTTCTGGAGAGAGGGCTGGGGGAAGCCGGAAGCAGGCGAGGAGGGTGAGATGATGAAGAGCTTGCTCCAGTGGCTGGAGGAGGGGGAGAGGGAAGTGGGGCTGGTGCATCCTTCTCCTGATGAAAGAAAAACACACACCAATTCCGAGGGAAGAAACCTTCTCAGGGAAGAAAGGAAGAGCAGCTCTGTGCTCAACCCCCAGAGGCCAGCTTGTTCCTAGTGCAGATTCATTATGCTCTGCTTCGCTACGTCCCAGGAAGCACCGCCAAGCCAAAAGACTCCTTGATCATACAAAACCCTGGGAGTTCAGACACAAGGCTAGGCAGGCGGCCGCATCAGCCCTATCTCACGCTGCGGGGCAGCTGCTACGGGGACAGGTTAACCCCACTGCTCGTCATTTTAGCCACATCATCTTGTCCTCGATGCCCTGTGATACTGTCATAGCTCATAAGCTAAGCAGGGTGGAGCCCAGTCTGCTGGAGATAGCTCAATAAACAGCACACACCTCTCTGCATTAGAATGGAACCAACACCCCAGCGTGGTGCTAGGGGGTGCTATGGGGCAGAAGGTGCCATCTATGGGATGGGAAGTAACAATGAGTTCCTGATGCCCCATGGTTATTTAAAGAGTGGTCACAAAAAGAATATTGGGAGGGAGCTAAAACCTCAAGCTTCAGAGTTTAAACTTATCTCTAACTTCCGAGATGAGGCCAAGACCTTCACAGGGGCCAGGTCACCCCACATCTGCCTGCATCTTGCATCTTCTGAACCATCTGGTGCTGGCCGCTGTCAGAGAGGGTACATGTATATTTGCATACACACCCATGGGAAAATGTGGCCAGGATCTGGGGGAATGGCACTACCATTTCTCCTGCAGTTCCAATGGGGGAATTTATTCTTCACTTCAGCTACTAAAAACTGTGGAAGTGTTGCCATTTGCTGCTATCAGCTGCTGCTTTTCCCTTCAGCAGAGGCCAAGTGACCCCCACGGAGTTTGCAGAGCTCTTGGAGAGCCTTCTGGATCAAAGTTACTTTATAAATATACAATTATTAGAAATGAGAATTTGCTTCAGGATGGAGACCTCAAGTTATCAGTTTCTGTCCCACTGATAAATAAATCCCCAAGTACAGTGGCATGTAAAGAACACATGGTTGTAGTGAAAACCTTGGCAGTCGGGTGGTGCCCTGAAGCTGGAGAGACAAACTAGTGGAGGATGAATGAAGATAAAGATAAGGGGTGAAATCCTAGCTCCATTGAAGTCAATGGCAAAACTCCTATTGGCTTCAATAGGGTCACGATTTCACCAGTCGTTCCTGTTCGCTTAACTGTACCCAGTGTTAACTATCCTCTGGGCCGTCTGTCCACTGGGGTGTCTCCAGGCACCATGGTTCCCTTTACAGGGTGTCTGGCACCAGTTAGCTGTCTGAGAACATGCATGCACCAAGGGCTTAGTCCCCTGCCACAGCAAGGGTCACAGGACTACCTCTACCCAGCAATGAACTCTGGGCCATTCAGCCTTGGCATGGAGATGTGCACGGTGTGAGGGCCAGGGAGGTTACACCAGAAGGGGGAGAACACTGGCAAAAGTGAACTTGATCATGAAAGGGAGAGTCAGGGAGGTGACGGGGAGCAATAGTGCAGGCAGTGTGCAAACTTCACACACACACACACACCCCTCTGCCACGGTCCTACATCCCTGACCTGAAGCCACCTCTGCTCTTCCAGTCCTGGCACAAGGCTCCACCAGCACCTCCGCTATCCTGGGAGTGGGAGGTAAGAGGAGAAAGGCCCCTCTTCAGACTGAGGGTGGGGAGGAGAGCTCCTCTGAAATCCCTGTGACGTAAAAAGCCCCCTCTAGTCCTCTTGTTACCTGGGACCCCAGTGCAGCAGAGACTGGGGCAGGGCCGGACACATCTCTGGAAGGCGTCACCTCCTTGGAGGGCTTTGATCGAAACCAACTGAACCAGCCAAACCCTGAGCCCTGGGAAACACAGGTTCTTATTGGGACTGGAATCATTGAAATAACAGCAATATATTAAAGACACCACCGCACGAAAACTCAGAGGTGGTGGGTGGAACCCAGCCTCACCCCTCCCAACCCCCGCAGCTTTCTTGGGTGAAAGAAAGGGTTCGGGGCAACCCAGCCCCTTCTCACTGCTGTGATGGGAGAGGAGAGGAAACCCATCCCTACGTCGCCGTGCAGCAAGGACAGAGAGCAGGGCTGAGGACCCCAGAACCACCTCCACCCCACTGCTGGAGGGGACAGAAGAGCAGGGGCTCAGCATATTAGCCTGGAGACAGCAGGGACTGGGGGGAGCCCATTCTACCCAGGTGCACTGACTGCAGCACTCCCAGCCATATGGACAGCGAAAGGCTGGCCGGGAGGTGAGTGAGAAGTTGGTGATGCCTCCAAACGAGAGGGCACGTGAGGCCTGATTCTGCTCTCCCTGCGGTGTAGATCAGGAGTAACCCTCTTGCAGCCCTGCTGATGTAAGAGGGGAATCAGGCTGGGGGCATGGCTTTGAAAGCAGCACAGTTCCCCCCTCACCTTTGCCTCTTCTCGCTCTGCCCCCTCCGTTGACGGCCGCTCTACAGCAACTCCCTCGCCTGTGCCTTCTGGGGGTCGCAAGGCGTCCTCCTCCATGGAGATGGTGGAGCTCTCTGAGACGGTTCGGGTCCTGGCATTCAACACGCTCTGGTACCAGAGATAAAGGGCATCAGTGCATTGGAGAGGGGCAAGGGAAACTGGGCGAGTGGGGCTGTAAAGAACTACCCGGCAGCCATTCCAAGAGGCGGCAGCATTCATTCCAACAGGACCCCTCCTTTCCGATCCCTTTTATTCTAGGCCCTGCAGAAAGGTCTGAGGCTAGATTCTCTCCTGAGCCAAGCAGATCTCAGAGCAGGAGAGAGGATTCTGTCGGGGAGTTTGTTATGGCTCCCTGATTCTCATGGTGCATCTGCACCAGCCCCGGCCCATCAACTTAAGTTGGAGGAGCTCTATCTCACGCCAGCTGGCTGAGGTCCCTATGGAAGCATATGCCAGTGGTGAACTGGTGTCACGCAGGCATATACTGCCCCACCTCCACAGCATGCCCCCTACACCAAGATTCTGGGGTACAGGGATATTTTCCATCAGCTCCCCTGCGCTAGGGAATTCTCAGCTGGCTGGTGAGAGGCAGAAGCCAGCACTTTGCATCACATGAGCAGCCCAAGACACGGGGAGAGAATATGGGCCGTGCTTTTCAGTTCCAATTAACACCACGGTGAAAGAAACATTAGGGATCAGACTGAGAGCACCAATCTCATCTGACGGGTGACCAAAGCAAGGGGTTGAACCCAGTGTGCAGCACTAGCCCTGTGGAAACAAGCTATCTCCTAGGGGTGTACGGCTGGGAACTACCTCAGCCCCAGGGTTTGAGGAGCCATGACACAGCTAGGGGAGGAAGGTCATGTTGGCAGCTGAAGCTAGGTTCAGGGAAGGGGTAGCAGCAAGAGGCAGAAGATAGCATGGGCCAATAGGCCCATGGGGTGAGTGCTAGTGGGCAGCTGGGGTGGAGAGGTCAGGGAGGGGTCAGACTTGGGTGTCAGGGAGGAGAACAGGGTTTGTCTGACCACATCCTGTGCATCGTGGCACCTGGCTCCCCCTTGTTCTCACCTGCTGTTCCAGAATGTTCTTCTGAACCCCAAAGGGCCGGGAGCGTCCTTGAAACCTCACAGCGCTCCCTAAAGAGCAGAGAGAATGACACAATTCAGGATTCGGGGGGGGGGGCGCATGCCCCTTATATGAAACTCCAGCGGGGGCAATTTAATGCAATCGTTGGTGTGGTATCGAGGTACCAACCCAACTGGCTGCTTAACAGCGAGATGCTGCAATTGGAGGAACAGGCCCAATCAATCTAGGCACACACAGTCACTCTCTGTGCGAACCCAGAGGTACGACCAGAGTCCATTGCAGCTGGGCACCAAAATCTGCTTCTCCTCCTGTTTATTCTTCCCTGAGCATTGGCAGGGTTAGGTGCTGGTCCCCTCCTCCAGCACTAGCACTACCACCCTTGTGACAGTCTGTTGTACTCTGTCACACTCCCCCGTGGTAACCACAATGCACAGGGCCAGGCGCTTCTTCCTGGTGGCCCCAAAATGCCAGCTCGAGATCGGCCTTGGACTGTTGGCACTTGTGCCGAGCAGGGAGAGGACTCGCTCAGCCCAGGAACAAAGGCAATGAGATTGGGCAGCTTCCTGCTCACCCTGAACACTACACACTAGCACAGAGGCAGGCAAACTTTTTGGCCTGAGGGCCACATCGGGGTTCTGAAATTGTATGGAGGGCTGGTTAGGGGAGGCTGCGTCTCCCCAAACAGCCAAGCGTGGCCCGGCCCTGGCCCCATATCTGACCCCCCCTGCTTCTCGCCCCCTGATGGCCCCCCCGGGACTCCTGCCCCATCCAACCCCCCCGTTTCCTGTCCCCTGATGCCCCACCAGGACCCCTGCCCCATCCACCCCTCCCTGTCCCCTGACCGCACCTGGACCCCCCATCCCTGACTGTCCCCCGCCGCCCCATCCAACCCCTCCTCTCATTCCTGACTGCCCCCCGGGACCCATGTCCCATCCAACCACCCCTTCTCCCTGGCCCCCCCGGAATCCCTGCCCCTCACTGCCCCCCGCCGTCCCATCCAACCCCCACCTCCTTCCTGACTTCCCTCACGACCCCTGCCCCCATTCAACCCCCCTGTTCCCTGCCGTCTGACCGCCCTGACCCCTATCCACACTCCCGCCCCCTGACCACGCCAGCCACGCCACCGTGCAGCACAGAGCACTGGGTCAGGCTGCGGCTCTGCAGCTGCGCTGCCTGGCAAGAGCACAGAGCATTGCGCCGGCAGCGCAGTGAGCTGAGGCTGCGGGGGAGGGGGAACAGCAGGGGAGGGGCCAGGGGCTAGCCTCCCGGGCTAGGAGCTCAGGGGCCTGGCAGGAGGGTCCCACAGGGTGGATGTAGCCCGTGGACCATAGTTTGCCCACCTCTGCACTAGGAGCTGCAGACACTTCAGGTACGTCTACAGAGCATGCTAAAAATAGCGTGTAGCCATGGCAGCAGGAGCAGCAGAAGAAGCTCGCCACCCTGAGCATGGGCTAGTGTCTTGGTCAAGTACATACTTGGGGTGGCTAGCCCCTCCTGCCTCTCCCACTGCCCTGGCTATGCTCTACTTTCAGTGTGCTAGCTCGAGCCAAACTAGCGCGGGGATGTATCCTGGAGCTGGGAATCACCCCCCCAGCTCCATGTGTAGACGTACCCTTGGAGCACTGGTCTTCTCTCTGCTGGATAAGACACAGTCCCAAGACAGCAAATCCAGGGTGAAATGCTCTGTGCGCAGGAGGCACCAGGTTAAAACGCAAACCACTTTTGCCTTAATGCTAGAGCGGGGATCTTATTAAAATGGGACCAAGATGAAGCAAAGGCCGTCCGTGAGCATCATTCACGCCGACAAACCTCTCAGCAGAGAGGAAACATGGGAACTCTCCGGCGACATTCCACGCTTCCAGAAAGAAAACCCACCACCACAGGCATGTGCAGGAGCTTTCATAGAAAAACCAGTCAGAACAAAGTGGTGGTTCAGACCCACCTCTGGCCCACCTATTCCCCGGAATTGAGAGAAACCCCAGCGCTGAGATCTGTGCCTGAACTTCTCAACGTTCAGGAGCCGAACACTCCAGTTCCATCTCTCATCTGAACTGTCCAATATGTATGTGTCCTGTTCTCCCCCCGCCCAAAACACATTTTCCCAACCCTCCTCCCAGGAATCCTCACAGATGGCCTGCAGCACAGCTCAGGCAAGCTTACCTGGTGGCTGGTAGACCTGTGGGGAATGGTCATTTGAAATTCCCTCTAGAGAGAGGTTTGCCCCAAAGCTGACCTCTGTGGGACGATTCTCTTGCATGGCATCAGGTGGCACAGAAGCTATGGCCTGCTCTGACCCCTCCACCCTGGAATATGCACCAGGCGGGAAGGACACGTTCTCCTGTAGACCTGGCTGGTACTGGCCTGTCCTCTCAGGAGCAGGGGAGTTATACTGCTGGAACTCTAGGTTGTGCTGGTAGCCTGGGTTTTGTGCAAACTCATGACGGAGATCTCTGTCTGGAAAACAGATCCCAGGAATGTACTCAGTATATTTACAGCTTTATTGAATGATTCAGGGTAATAGAATTCCCTTCGGTGCCATTTTCGTACATGGAAAGTGGGCCTGAGAGACACAGCAAGAAAAGACTCCAAAGGAATAAGAGTGGTTAAGGCGTGGGACATTGGTACAGGTCAACCAACACAGGAGAGCTTTTACCTCCTTAGTGGGGAGAGGATGGTGGTAAAAGACAGGAGGGGCAATATGCCTCCAGGTGCAAGAACCCCTTAGAATGGGGCCATGACGGAGGCAGAGCCAACTGAGAAGGGTGAGAAGAAGAGGAGGACTTCAGAAATTCTGAGGGTACCACAGCCTCCTGTTCCCCGTCTACCTACACACTGGGAAGGGAACAAAACTTGCCAAAAGCTCCGCAACTTCCTAGCTGCAGCTTAATCTCCACCCTCCCTCAGCTCCATGGGGAGGTGCAGCAGGCCATGGCTGGGCAATGTCACTACTAAGTCACTGATCCACAGGGCACCCAGACCCAACCCTGTAGATCCCTGGCCAAGCAGAGACAGGATCACACTCCTGGAGCTCCACCGAGGTCCCCCACCCAACACCCTTTGTGGGGAGGTGGCGATGCACGGTCCACTTCTAGAGTATGTTTGAGAGATTCCCAGCAAGACTCGGAGTCTTTGCTATCTTGGGAGAGCAACACAGAGGGTCAAGGAGGCAGTTTCCAGTCTGTTCCAACTGGTCTCCCATATATCCCTCCGCGGGGAGGGATAGCTCAGTGGTTTGAGCATTGGCCTGCTAAACCCAGGGTTGTGAGTTCAATCCTTGAGGGGGCCACTTAGGGATCTGGGGCAAAATCAGTACTTGGTCCTGCTAGTGAAGGCAGGGGGCTGGACTCGATGACCTTTCAAGGTCCCTTCCAGTTCTAGGAGATGGGATATCTCCATTATTATATCTGGTCATGCTCCACATTTGGAGAACCCCTCTATCTCTACCCAGAGCGGCCTAGATCCTCAAAGGTATGTAACACCTAACTTCCTTTGTATTTAGGTGCCTAAATATATTTGAGGATCTGGGCCAATGTGTTCGTTCCTTTCTTTACCTGCTGTGGATCCGCTGGCTCTGGAGAGCTCTGGCTGAGCGGATGCCAAGTTGGGGAGGTCGCCTTCCTTCTGAAAGGATTTGAAAAGTGAATGTTACAAAAGAAAGGGAAAACTAGAAAGTGGGACACCCAGAAGAATTGTCTCCAAGGCACCGGTAATCAAGACATAATTGTCACCGGAGTGAAAGCCACGCGGGCTCCTTGTGAATGACAGCCACATAGTGGATAGTGATCTCTGCCTTGTTTCTGCTCCTTCCATTCTCCAGCTTCCAGTCAGCTCCAGAGACCATGTCAGAGTTACTTACACCCACCACGCCACCCACCCCTGCGCTTCTCATTCATCCCAAGCAGAGGGTGAGCAAGGAGGCGCACTGAATCCTGGGGCTCTGTTCTCTTGCTATGGCAAGTGAACAACTCAATGGCTATCACTCAAATCCTACAGAGGGTGAACGAGGCACAAGGACACTGTTAATGGCTCCCTCTTGTGGGAAGGCTGGAGCTGTTCAGAATACAGCTATTGGGCCTGATTCACTTTAGTGGAGTTACTGCTAATTTCCACCATGGTAGATGAGATCAGCATATGACCATTGTCCTTCTTGGAGGGGACAGGATGGGGAGCCACAGGGAGGGGAAAAAGAGACAAAACATGGAGACAGACCCTACATTTTAAGGGAACACGTTCATGGGAAATTAAACTGCTCAGGAGCGTATATTCAGGGTACAGAGACTGGAGAGAAAGACAAGTCTCTAAGCATATAGAGATGAAACCACCTGCAACATCCTCACACACACACAAAGAGGAACTCTTTGCACAACAAACCTTCTCATCTTCTAATCACTTTCCTAAAAACAAGACGGGGGAAGGTGTTTCTTACCCAGCATGATGCTTTTTGGCTCACTAGTGCCTAGCCCAGAGACCACTATGAGTTCTGGGCGATACATTCCCTCCCACTTCCATGGAGACCTTGAGGTTCAACAGGAGAGGGCCTGTGATGCTAGCCATCACAGAGCTTTGCACAGTATCAACAGTGTGCTTTCCAAGAAAGAAGGGGAAGGAAGAAGCCTTCCAGAACCCAGGTAAGAAATCCCCTTGGGACCTTAGTGCCTTTCTAAACACTTACCTAGGACTTACTATGCAGGGGAAGGACGCACCTGCAGACTGACCACATCATAGAGACTGGTCACACAGCACATCCTGTTTCACCCACCCCAGAGGACTGTGGCAATCATGAAACATGACCGAAAGAGCCACTCCAAATCCCATCATTCTCACCTCCCATTGTTGGCCTCGGGCTCGGAGCTGGACGAGCCAGTCGGGTTCCAGGTTCTGTTCCTGCTCAGGTCTTTCCAGTAGCAATGGGTCAGAGAGCTTCAGCTGCTCTGCAAGCTGTGCAGTGGTGGGGGAGAAGGCGGTGGAGAACAGATGCTTTATCCTGTTAACCTCTCAGATGCAGAGAGCACAGATTGACAGTCATAGCAATTAATGAGCTGCTAGGCACATGGACCAGGGAAAAGCTGTTAACTCAATGAGTGCAGCATTTCCTCATAATAAATACATAAGAATAACGCTCGACATTTATATAGCACCTTTATTATTTCTATTGCAGTAACATCCAGAGGGGCCAGAACTGTTGGGCTAGGTGCTGTACCTTCCCTAACCTTCCCTCAGAGGATCTCAAAGCACTTTACAAACACCACCCCTGTGAGCTAGGTCAGGACCATTATCCTCATTTTCCAAGTGGGCAAACTGAAACACAAAGAGATCTGCGTGACTCCCCCAAGGGTCCACAGTTACATAGGCACCGACTTACACTCTTTCACATGGGTGCTTGACCCCCACTCCGCCTCCGGCCCCACCCCCACTCCACCCCTTCCATGAGGCCCAGCCCCCGCCTCTTCCGCCCCCTTCCAACCCCTTCCCCAAAGTCCCCAGCCCAGGGCTGTCCAGAGGGGGTGGGCAAGTGAGGCAATTTGCCCCAGGCCCCGCAGGGGCCCCCACGAGAATATAGCATTCTATAGTATTGCAACGTTTTTTATGGAAGGGGCCCCTGAAATTGCTTTGCCCCAGGCCCCCTGAATCCTCTGGGTGGCCCTGCCCCAGCCCAACTCCGCCCCCTCCCTGTCAATATTCCAACTCCTTCACCAAATCCCCACCCTGGCCCCGCCTCTTCCCTGCCTCTTCTACTGAGCGCACCACGTCCCCACTCCTCCCTCTCCCTCCCAGAGCTTGTTAATGCCGCCAAACAGCTGTTTGGAGGCGGACAGGCGGGAAACGCTGGGAGGCAGGTGGAGGAGCAGGGTTGTGGTGCGCTCAGGGGAGGAGGAGGTGGGGCGGGGGGTGAGGGGAGCTTGGCTGCCGGTGGGTGCAGAGCACCCACTAATTTTCCCCCGTGGGTGCTCCAGCCCCGGAGCACCCACAGAGTTGGTGCCTATGCACAGTTATCCATCAGCAGGACCAGTAAGGGATCCCAGATTTCCTGGCTTCCACTCCTGGGTGCTAGCCACATAACTCCTGTGGGAGGTGGAGGGAGTGTTCGCAGTGGCTAGAACATGAGTCTGGGAGTCAGGCTTCATGGCTTCCATCTCTAATCTCTGCCACTGACTCACTGCATGACCTGAGCAAATCTCTCACTGTGTATCAGTACAATGCGTATAACACTCACCTCACAGAGCCTGACTTCACTCCTGTTTGTAAAGCACTGCAAGAACTCTATAAGGGCAAAATCAGGGTCACTTGGCACACGCCATTGTTCTCTCTCTTTAGGGTACCAAAGATATGCCAAGATGTGTAGCACACACCCATACCCATCAGCCTTTTCAGGCACAGAAAGTACATCAGGTCAGAAGGAACTTGCCCAGTTTTCTCCTCTGTGTTGTAATTGGGCTTTATGATTTTTACCATTCTTTCTGACTGTCAGACGAGACACATGGTAATGGGGTGCTCAGCTCCCTACGCACTTGCCAAAGGAAGGGGGAAAATCACACTATTGATATAGCAGTTAAAAGACCTGCCTAAGGAGATACAGCAAGTCAGGGGCAGAACTGGGCCTAGAACCTAGGCCTCCTGACTTGCTGTCCAGAGCCCTACCTGCTGAACCACACCACTGCTCCACTAAGTTGTGAGCTGTTAGATACCTGGCTGAACTCTTAGCATGACTCTGTAACTGACACACTCATGACGTCTGCTCCATAGAAGGTGACAGAGACACACTTTAGCCAGACAAAGAGATGGGCTAATTCACCACTAGCCAGTGTAACACCATTGCCTTTGATCAAGTGACAGCTAATTGGCCAGGGGTTACTAGCCCAAGACATTAGTTAAGGGTTATTATTAATGATGATGATGGAGATTGTGCAGTAAAACATACGAACATAGAGTAAAACACATGCCCTGCCCCAAAGAGCTTACAGACAAGACAGACACCCACAGCCTGCAACTAGGGACAATAATTAACAGGAGAGTGAGTGAGGAGAGATTCCTGGTGTATGAGCAAATGGAACCATATGGGAGAAGTTGTTTGTCCAGGTGGGCTGGGTCAGATCTTGTCAGATACAGACATGGGTTCATTCTAAACCAATACCAAGAGACAAGAAATTAGAAGTGTGATTATTCCTAAATGGGAGGATGCTTAATCCAAAAGCTAATAGGTGCTTTGATCCAGTATTAATGAACCAACACCTGGTTGTAAATCATCCCCGGCTTCAAAGGAAGGGAAGTCTTAATCAAACACTAATGGGGATCATAATTCGTAACACAGTCTGCAACATCAAAGACAAGAGAGGTGCTATAACTGTGCTGGTTTTTCATCTGAAAGCCCGTTCTCGCAGGAGAAGTGTTATTCCCAGCAGAATGGCCCATCTGAGAGGCTGTTAGAGTAAATAGGTTTCCACAACAGGTGGATCCAGGTAAGTGCTACAACATTATGTAACTCCAACTTTAGGGCTAGTGTGACAGGGATTTTCACAGCACCTGCCTCAGGTGTGTATTACCTAAGTATTTTTTCTCTCTCTCTTTAATCTACGTTGTGGCAATGACCAGGAAATATTTCTTTTGCTTCATTTCAGGTGAATTAGGTTTTGACTGTATTGTTCCCTGGGCTCCACACAATGGAGCTTTAGCAGGAAATAGAACTCAGAGAAAGATGAATGGGATAGACTATGAATGGGTCCAGGACAATGACAAGGTCGTACTGCAGAAAGGGCATGTGCCACTGTCAGTATTATAGAGCCAAATGGTTCAAGAGACAGCTGCCTACTAAAGGGATCAGTGCAGTCACCTGTATCACTGGAGCTTCATCCACAAACAGGGAGGCAATGTAGTCTAGTTGATTGAGCACCTAACTGCCATGCCAAAGACTTGAATTCTAGCCCTGGCACTGGCTTGAGCACATTACTTCCCTGCTCTGTGCTTCAGTCCCCGCATCTGGGAAATGAGTACAAGGATACTGTCCTCCTTTGTCAAGTGCTTTGAGCTCTACTGATGAAAAGCCCTATGTAAGAGCCAGGTGCTGATGCTCATTCTTCTGGTTTTTTGGGACAAAGGGGTTGGCTTGTTTTTCTAACACCATCCCAAACATGACAAAATAGGACATTTTCTGGTTTAAAATAAAGACTTCTGCATACTTTAATCCCTAAAATAGATGTGAAAATTACAACATCTTACCATAAAATAACAATAATAATACCCAGCTCTGACAACTTCAATAACACACCCCAAATCCTGTAGCTGTTATGAGATTATGATTTCTTGTGGAATATTCCTTCTAATGCAAGTCAGACCAGTTCTAATAGTGAATACCTAAGTAGCTGCCTATGGACACACACAGACATCCTCGGAATCCGTTATAACACCTGAGTTTGCAAATGTTATCCCAGAATGATACATTCAATAGGAAGTATCAAGAACCATTTTTAAAATAGATTTTAACTTCATAAGTCTCCACCATTTTTAACTTTGTAGAAGCTTCAAAGTGAGATTTCCTTCTTCTGCAATTTTGTGTTCTTTCCTAGTTGGCACATGATGCCCCTTCCCCCTCCACTCCCCTTTATTTGATATTAGACTTGGCTCCTGCATCGTTGTTTCAGCACCATGGGTGAGGCCAGCACATATCTCATTTAGGCAGTTGCTACGGAAAAATCACCAGAGGCAGCCAGACAGCACAGCCTATTGCATCCCAAAGGACTCGTGTATGTACTGGGTTGAGCTTAGTTGTCATACTCCAGCAAATAGATGTTCGGGGCTGATTTTCAGAAGTGCTGAGCTCTTGGGAGCTCCAGGGGCTCAGAGACATTTCCTAACAGCAGAAGGTTGATTGTTATATAGGCCTAGGCAACTTGACAGCATTCCCGAAATCCTGCCTCATGTAAATCAAGGGCAAAACTACCAGCAGGGCCAGGATTTCACCCATTCAACACTTCAGCTAACCCCCACCCACAGCGAAAGCAAACAAGGACTGGTTACAAGAGACGCACCTTGATAACCTGTTCTAACAGCACCGGATGGCTGGCCTGGGTCTGGTCTAGCAGAGCTGTGCCAATCCCTTCGCAGTAATGCAAGGCCTGGGAGGTGAGACCATAGTCCGCCAGGCGTGCAGCGTAAAGGAGTTTATACACCTTGGAAAAGGAACAAGAAAAATGACTGTCCAGGCGAGGAGAAGAAAAGGAACGAAGAAGCAGCCCAGTTGCTCAGAAGGTGAGGTCCCTGTACAGCCTTGATGGAGGTGTCTGACTCAGAGGCAGCATGGTCCAGTGGGTAGCACACAGCACTGCAAATCAGGAGACCTCGAGTCTAGCTTGGCTGTGCTTTGTGACCTTGAGTAACTTCCCTCTCTGTGCCTGTTTCCCCTTGCCAGTCTTCTCTATTTAGACTGTTGGCTCTTTGGGGCATAGACTCTCTCTCCCTATGCATCTGTGCTGCACCTAGCCTAGTGGGGGTCTCTCAGTGCCTAGACAATGAAATACCAACTTGCAGTCAAGGAGGGAACAGCCCAGCCCTATTGCAGCACCATGCCATATCTCGGAATTCCGCATTAACACATCCGCTTAGAAAGGCACGAAATAGAGACAGGCTCAATTGGTCATGTCTTAGATGCAGTGGGGCTGAAGGTCTCATTATGATCTGTAAGGGGCGTTTGTCCATATCAAAAACCCACCATCCATTGCAGCAAGCTAGCTGGCTCGGCTCACCTCAGGCTCGCAGCTGGAATTGCAGTGAGGCTGGTTTTGAAGTCAGGGTAAAGATGTGCCAGCAGATCTGTGGGGGAGGACCCTAGCCAGAAATATTTATTTATTCACCTGATTTGTGCAACGCTTGAGGCTGCAGCAGCTGGGTGCTTATGCACAATGTTAAAAGTACATCAGTTACGCATGGCTATTAGAGAAGGGAAAGCTAGGCAAAAACTAAAGCAGATAAATATGTGTGGCACTCTGCCCTGAAACTTGCTAGACTCATGCTCTGATGATCTGTGAAGGGGAGTGAATTCAAAAGACCCTCCATTGAGGAAGCTCTGCTGAGCCCAGGGAGGGCCTGATCTCTCACTGCTTCGCATCTGTGCAAAGTGTGTAACCGTCACCGTTCTGCTTTGCACTTCCTCTGCACGGGCGTGAAAGGGAGCGGAGACTCAAGTCCTCCAGGTGGATTTCAAGGGCGGCCCCTCACAGAGCACATGGCGGTGAGTCTAGCTGAAAGGTGACTCTTTGCAGTTTTGTGTAAGAAAAGAAGAGCTGCAGCCTCCTGGGTCACTAGATGATAAAGGAGACTGAGCACCTATGGACCCTACAGAACCCCAAGGCTGTGAATCACCTGGGACAAAAGCAGCCAGGGTTGGAGTAGCAGGGGGCGTGGCAGGTCAGGGTTATGATGGTGGCAGTGTTTAAGACTGGACGTGGCGAGAGGTTCTACAGGCCGGGACAGACAGTGATAAATAGCAGTGACACTAGTAAATGGGCCTGGATCCCCAAAGGGATTTAGCTATTGTAATGCCTAATTTTTAGGTGCCTAGAAAATCACTGGCACAACAACGGGAGCCACAAAGCCTGAGTTAGGCGCCTAGACTCCCTATACAATGAATGGGGAGACACAGGAGTAGGGCTGGCTTAGCTGCCATGGAGAAGCCCAAGATAAGACAAGACAAGCCCAAACAAATAACTGCTGAAACAACTATTATGAATGCGTTTATTGTAAATAAGCGAAGCAGAAGCTAACTACACTCACTGTTGTGGGTATGTCTATAGTAAACACAGTAGGCAGAAACACCCTGAACTGAGATGCTTGCCTTACACATTCTGCAAAGCGATTGGTCTTTACATGTGAGATATATAGAGGTTAATAGCTAGGAAAATGTATATATAATATGCTGTGTGACATGAATTGGAATTGTGGTATCACCCTGTACCTAAACTCCCTGCGTCTGGGCCTAGCCAGCGTGGATGAAGAGCTGTCACATGCCTAATTAAGTAACCGGAGTGACGAGCTGGAGTCAAACTGAGTTTCAGGGGTCCCAGAGAACTGGATGAAGTGTTCTCCCAGAAGAGAACGAGGTGCTCTGGATAAGCCAAGCAGAAAAGGTCTCGGAGGGAATCCCAACAGTAGGTGCCTTAGACTGCAATCCATGAAAGCCAGCATGTTGGCCAATGGGAGACGCCAAAGCAGGGGTGTGCTCTAAGCCCTGCCCCCTCACAGAGTTCTGAGCCTACGTCCAGGTTGCAGGGAGGCATCTATCTCCGCTAGTGATCCATAAATGGGGGGAAGATAGGCCCTCCTCCACCCAAGCCACATGTGGGACCCGATCTGGTAGGCACGCCTAACTCCATGCAAAACAGCTGAGGGCGGGGAAGGAGGAGCAGATATGGGAGGCTACCAGTTCAAGTCCCCCCCCTCTACCTGATGAGGAAAAGGGATTTGTAGAAGGATCTGCCCTATGGGATAGTCTGATGTAGGTTTCCCTCAATCTCTCCTATTGAGGTTGTGCCACTTCAATTAAATACATGAATAATTAAATATTAATTGGGCCCAAGCAAGAATGACTCTAAAGTCCAGTGGTTCAGGCCCTCACTTGAAAAGTGGCAGAGCCCTGTTCAAATCCCTTCTCATCAGGGTGAGGGGGGATTTGAACCAATGGTCGCCCACATCCAGGGTGAGTACCCTAATCATTACAGGTTATAAGGGAAGCTCTCTTCCGACCCCTCGCTGTTTTGTGTGGAGTTAGGCATGCCCACTAGATCAGGCCGCACACACGTTAGGCGGACAAACATCTATCTTCCCCCAGGTTATGGATCGCTCTGGGCATTAGATGTGAGACAGTGGTCTGGGTGTCTACAGTGAGCCAGCAAACTCAGAAGGCAGAAATTTTGGCACCTAGAGAACTTTTACAGTGCAAATTTAGGCCCCGAGTGAGTTTAGGCACCCACAGGATTCGGCAGCTGCTGAGCAGGGCTTTTGTGAACAGCAGCGGGGCCTAAAAATGGGCCTTAGGTGCCTAAGTCTGGGGGTTAGGTTCCTAAGTCCCTTTGTGGATTCAGGCCAGGGACCTCTGCCTTTCTATAGTTCCTTTCATCATTACCACTTTACAAATGCTATATAAAGCCTCACAACCCCACAGCGACACAGGTGAGAATTAGCAAATTCTTTACATGGGCGGGGAAACTGAGGCACGCAGCCATACAACTTGCCAATGGCAAGTCCTAGTCCCTTATTCTAATGACTAGATGACGCTGGCCATCAACAGAGCTGTATGTAGTACCCAGGTATGGAATAGCAAGGCACCCTTCAGGTGAGGAAAGAGATGCATTGGCACAGTAAGGGTAGGACTGAAAGAACAAGGGCACAGCAGGGCTGGCATTGACATGCACTGGCAATACTGGGTGAGGAAGCTGGTGCAGTGCCTGCATGTACTTTGCCAATACTAATGCATCCTATACTTCACGAGCTCCCAATTCACTTCCCAGACATAGAGGGGATGAAAATCACCTCTCACCCTCAACTCTGGGTTATAGAAATTGAGACATTGTCCTGAGCTGTCTATACGGGGTGAGGATGTACCCAGCCAGCAACGGTTGAGGCTGAGGATGGTGCTTAGACAGGAGATGGAAGAAGAAGAAAAGAGAAAAATCTATCTGTAAACAACACTGGGTGAAGCAAGGCATGGAGGATAGCAAAGTCCTTTAGGGATCATTTGAATGCAGAACGTAATTTTATACCATAGTCTGTGGCAAAAGGCATATCAGAAATGCATTAGGTTGTGATTTGTGGAGAGGTTACATTACAGCACATTGATCACTTGTGGCTCTGCGCATCAAATGTACTGGCTGTACCTGACTGTTTCCATTACCTGGAAGGAGAGGATGAAGGATTTGGGATGTCCCAGCATCTGACAATACTCAAAGATTTCAGTCCTTAGGATAGATTCCGTCTTGGCAAACTGTACAAATGTCTGACTGAAAGGAGAAGGCAGAGAGGTGAGGACAGGAACAGAAAGCAAGACTCTTCCTCTCCATGATAAACCTGCATGTCTGGGATACGGAGTGTCCATCCCTCACCCCACCAATCTTCAGAATGTTAAACTGACTAGGAGCAAAAGTGAAACTGATTAATGCCACAGCCAGTCAAATCCCACCAACAAAAGCTTCCTTATAAAGCAGGTAAGCACCAAACCCATCCACACAAACCTTTAAAAGCAAAAAGAACGGGGAGTACTTGTGGCACCCACAAGTACTCCTCGTTCTTTTTGCTGATACAGACTGACACGGCTACCACTCTGAAACCTTTAAAAGCAAGGACGTGACGAGGTACGGCAATCTTCTTTAACATCCTATAACACCCACCCCATTCACTCACAGACACACTCCACGCGGCACTCCCTTGCCCCTCCAGCACATGCAGACCCACAGGGCACACCCCAAATCCCTCTAGCTCACACAGCAGCAGAAAACCTCTGCAATATTAATAAGTGTTTACTAGAGGCACCTGTGCATTGTTTAAGTGTGTGACATGGTATTTGTAAATGTGGCAAGTCTGAAACCTCCATGATGCTAAAAAGGAACAAACAGCATAAATGGCAAAAAGCAAATTAGATTGTTAAAATCCTTTCACTGGTAGTATCTGGACTGCTAGAAACATGCAGGAATTTTTTAGTAAGTAAGATTTCTGGCTGGGCCCTGAGGGAGATGGCCTGCCTTGAACTCTTTGAAAATCCCAGCCCTTAAAAAATATTTTGTCCCTTTACAGTAAACTACTCTATCTACCACACTCAATCAATGGGGATCTGGATTCTACTAGGCAGCCCTGCAGACTGTGGACCTGCTTTCCACTGCCTTTTACCCTCTGTGCAATTATTCACACATGTCCATTCCAAGTGGACAGCTTTTTACATCCACTTTGCCCAGATGTAAACGATAACTCCAGGCAGCAGTGAATCAGACCAAGTGAGATGGGGCTGCTGAGCAGTGACCTTCATTCGGAGATCCAGAGCAAAGAGCCCCTCCAAATGAAACGGATCATTACTCTCTTCCAGAGAGACAGAGCTGAAGTCACTTCAGTCAGTAGCCTGGTTTTTAGAACCAGGAGTCTCAGTGACATCCAGTGGACAGTTTGGTTAATGGCAGGTGGGTTCTCCCCAGCCGACACCTGGGGCATACACCCAGTCTCCAGTTATTGATATATGTGGGTGGGGGTATTTATGTTTTTGGGCTTGGAAGGCAGAGGGTGGGCAAGGAGGAAAACGCTCAAGTGTGTTAAAACATCTCCCCACATTATCAAATGTACTGCTGCCCAAACACCCGTCTACCTCAAGCACTGCACACTGCTGCTCCCTGGGTGCTGAGCTGCTTCAATGCATCCCCATGAATGTGACTACAATGAAAGGCTCAACCCGCAAATCCAGGAGGTAACATGGCTGCCAAGCATAACCCCTTCAGTGCCCCGTGAGCGTCAGAGTTCAGTGTGTCTTTCTTTCCACGGACCTACTGTGTATCCTTGAGAGCATCCCTTGCCCTTTCAGCGCCTAAGCCCCTCCACCTCTAGAATGAGTGCCAAGTGGAGCTCCCTCCAAGGCTCTTTAGAACTTGGGCTGGGCCTCCCCCATTGTAACTAGCTGGCTCAACACAACCAATCAAATACCCAACAGCGGCATTTTCGGTCACCTAGGGTGCAGCGATTTGGAGCGCTGCTCCAGCTGCGTGGTTGCCATGCCATTGAAATGTGACCCGGCCACCCCTCCATATAGACAGAGGGACGACTGGTCCAATTTCATTGAGTGGCATTGTGAACTGGCACATGGGGAGTCTGTTCCTGGAGTGCGGGGGAGTGCGCCAAGACCTGGACTCCTGGTGGCACCAGCTCACGTGGTATGTGAGTAAGAGAGCGGGGAGACTCCCCAGCCAAGGGAAACCTGGGGTCCCTGCGGGGTGGGAGGAATGAGCAAGGGATGGAACAGGGTCTTCAGTATTGGGGGGAGGCAGGGACTGGAATTTGTCCCCTCAAGAAATCTCTGAATTGGCACCATTGATAGTGCCAATCTCTGAATGGCATCATCATTCCCAATATACCTTCGACCATTAGCATAATGCACAGCGCTCTAGCGAGGTTAGCAGGGAACTCCTGGGTCCTGTTCCCAGCTATACCACTGTTTTAGAGATGGCCTTAGGTGCAGCATTCCACCTTCCTGTTCCTAAAGTCTCTGCCTGGTAACATCTTCAATTAAAATGGAATGTTAAACAACAACAAAAAATAAACTATAAACTAGATCTCCTTCCAAGGAGTGTTAGTTCCTGTTTGTAAAGCCATTGGAGATCCCTGGGGGAGCTGTTCTGACTCCTAAGAATGACAGCTGTAAATATTTGCAGGAACCTGCATGCTTGGCTTACTCACCTGGGGTCACTGCCCAGCAAGACAATGTGGTCTGTCTTAACCCCGTAGTGACCAAAAGGGACATTCGCCATTAGATAGCAGAAGTGAGCAGCTTCTATTAACCCTCTCCCAGCTGGACAGGAGAAAAGGGACAAAAGCCAGTCACAACAAAAATACACCTTCAAATGCGCACATGACAAAACAGCTGTATCCATCTCCCCTCTCTGCCCATTCAAGACCCCCAACCCCAAGGAAACCCCCACACCCTACGTCCTCTTGCACGGCTGTTATTTTGCTAGTCATCAAGTTTAATTTTCCATTAGATGACCTGACTGGGTGGCAGAAGCAAGTGTCTGGCTCCCATTTAGCTTCTTCGGGATGTTTCAATGTAGCAAAATCTGTGGCGGGGCTTTCTACCATTGTCACCGCATAACTGGCACTAAGAATAAGCCAGTTAAGTCTCTCTGTCAGCCATATCTGTGACTCATGCACTAGGGCAGAGGTATGCATTTCAGAGCCTGCGATAGGGATATTTCACCAGCAGGAGTATACAGTGTCTATTATCTGATTGAGCGTGCAAGGCAGAGCAGTATTCCCATTCCTTTCCCTGCCACCCTGCACACCTGTCTTTACACAGTTACTTACACCCATGTCTGCACATATACTGCTGTACGTCTCCACACACACACACACACATACACGTTACATGGTCCTGGAACATGTTGGCTCGTTGTGTTAAAGGCAGCCAGGCTCACAGGTATATGGGCAAGGGTATGCATGCAGATACTGGCCTGTGGGCACAAGCGCACAGACACACAGTCACAATTGCATACACTACACAATTACATGGAAAAGAGCAGATGCACAATCTTGTCAAGACTCACAAACATACACATCTGTTCATAACAGCTTACATAGCCCCTGGTGCTGCCAAGGCATCTTATGGCACTTTAATAGAAGCTGTGCAGTAATTTAATAATACAGTCATGCGGCTTAGCTAAAGAGGAAATAAAGGGTTGTTCAGCTTGGAAGCAAGAGGTCACCCCAGGGTCACAGTGTAGGGAATTCACAAGAGAAAAGGCTGCTGCACCAGTCCCCCAGAATGACCTATGCAGGGGCAGGCGAGACCAGTGGCTGGCATCTGATGGCTCAGGGGTGAGAAGGCAGCCAGTACCTCTCTGAATGTATGCAAGTGGCCCCAACGCATAGTTCCTTCATGGTGGGCAGTAAGTTCACAACAGCATGAACTGCACCCATTTAAACCACTCCATGATGCAAACTCACTCCCAACTGCATGCAAGGAGCACAAGCCCAAGCTAGCCAAGAGAGCTGAACAGATATCCACTCACACCACCAATTCCACAGACACACATCCAGGCTGGCCAAGAGAGCTGAGCAGATCCCAGCCATCCCACCATTCCTAGGTGTGCTCACCTTACCCTGCAGGCACCTTGTCAGCAACCTGTTCTCACATGGCCTCTCTCTGCCCCACTGAAGTATATGTCGGGGTCCATACACATAGACAAAAATTAAAGAACTGAACTTGGCTTCTGCAGGAGGGAAGCCTGGGCCGGCGGGAGCTCTGTGTGCTCAGCGTCTCCAGGGCCGGCTCCAGGCAGGTGCTTGGGGCGGCCAAGGGGAAGGGGTGGCACGTCGGGCTGTTCGGCGGCAATTCGGCAGCGGGTCCCTCGGTCCCTCTTGGAGGGAAGGACCTGCCGCCAAAGTGCCGCCAAAGAAGAAAGCGGCGCAGTGGAACTGCCACCAATCGCGATTGCGGCTTTTTTTTTTTCTTCTTCTCTTGCCGCTTGGGACAGCAAACATCCTGGAGCCGGCCCTGGCGTCTTGGAAAAGCCCTTTTCTAATTTAGGTGTCTACCTTTAGCCATCCACATCAGAAAAAGTTGACCTGTACATTTCTGAGTGGCAGCAAATCTTATTGCAACTGGAAATTAAATATCTGAGCTCCTCTTTTCCAGGTAGCAGTAGTAGGAACTTTCCAGCTATGCACCACCAATGATCCCAACTGCTGGTCTGAAATGAGCCAGATGGCACTCCAAGTGGTGCTCAGTGCACACTCCCAGCGAGGCCAAGCTGTGTGAGGTGGTGAAGGTGATGTGGATGACTCTACAGTGGGGACAGAACCGAGCTTATTTCCATCAGGGTGGTTTTGAACCTGGGGGCAGCGTTAGCCATTAAGTCACCATCCTCCCACCTCCTGTAATAGAGTATACTAAACATGTGAGCACAATGGGGCATCCTATCTGACACTAAGTGTGAGCCGCTCAGCTGGGCCCAGTCATCACCTCTCCTCACCCAAGGTGTCTCCCATGGCGACAATGGCCCGGTGGTTCAGCTCAGTGTCCCCAACCTGGTTGGACAGCATCACTGCCAGGTGTGGTCTCCAGTCTCCCCACCTGCCATCCCCACAGCACTGGGAGCAGAAACAAAGAAAGATTAATAGATAGTTTGGCTGCTTTAGCTCCTTGATCTGGCCTTTACTAGGTACAGAGCTATTAGAGCATCACAAAGGAAGGAACACTGTCTGTGAATAAAGAAATGAAGTGACTATGTCTGTTCAAGTAAGACCTTAAGGCGGAGAAGGCAGAAAAGCTACAGTGCATTTCTCTTCGCCTGCTTCTGGCTATGGCTTCACTAATGGTGCCTGGCAGTTTGTGCCTTCTGCAAGAAGCCAACGTAATGGCAATTAGTTTATGCCGAGTAACCAAAAACGTTCACCTACCGTCATGCCTCTGTGTCAACCTCCACTCCAATCAGCTGAGCCGGGCCACCTCAGCATCCCTGCATTACCTCTGTCCACCTGAGCTTTCCATGTTCCCCCAAATTCCAGGCCCCTCTGCTCTTTCACGCCTCCACAGAAACTTTCCGCAAGTCAGCTCCATGCCTCCCCCACCTCTGGGCCACTTACGTAGTGCGCTAGGTTCTTACGCTACATCCCCGCTGTATCAGATTCCTATAGAGGAATGGCATTGTGCTGGTGCTAGCAGGGGACACTAGGTCATACTGGGGTTGTCACCAATCCCATATTCACAGGACAGCCCCCTTTGCACAAATCTGTCCTGTCCCTGTAAGCCAGACAGTTAAAAGAGTCCGACTGTTCACTGTGCTGCCTCACGATGTTGCATTGGCACGTGATGATACTGGGTCACCATGCATCGAGGCAGCGTCCGGACATGCACGTGCAAACGCATCACCGCACCAGGATATGGTTACCCCAGTCTCATGGGGCAAACAGAAATAGGCAGGAACCCTGATCCCACCAGCAGGTGGCCAGATTAGCAGCACAGTGAAAAATGGCCAATTACTTTGCTGTTCACTGCAATGAACATCCTAGAGGGCAAACTGATGATACTAAGACGTCATCCTATGAAGCACTGCAGAGTGCCACTGAGGCCCGCTCTCCTAGCCCACACCAACACAAGGTGTTGAGGGAGGGGAGGGAGCTAGATGCTTTTCCATTCAGTACCAGAGCTGCCTGAGGTATCCTTCCGGACATGAGCTGGAAGAGAGTCTGCAGGGGGTCGTTGAGGGCCAGCGTGCTGGTGAACCTGCAAACCGAGAGCAGAGAGACGGGGCCATTATGCTGACAGGAAGGAAGGGCCATCCAGTGATTAGAGCACTAGCTAGTACATGGATGATCTGGGTTCAATTCCTGCTCTGCTAAACTTCGTCTATGACCCTGGGAAACTCACTTAGCCTCTCCGTGCCTTAGTTCCCCCTCTGTAACATGTAGATAACACTTCCCTACCTTACAGGGCATGTGAGGATAAATACATTAAAGAGTGTGCAGCCTTCAGATACGGCAGTGAGGGGGCCACGTAAGTACCTAAGAGAGATTGATGGGTGAGCCCAAACCCCTTGCTCATCTCCAAGGCAGGGAGAGACAAACAGCAGAAATCCTCCATCCAAGGGCTCAGGTTGTGTGAGGCACGGACAAAGCGGGAGACTCAACAGGGATGTTATGCAGCTGTGAACAGCAGGGGAGGGGGCCAATGATGTGAAGGGTTCTTGAGCACTATGCTCTGGCAGCTCCTACCCACCCAGATAGAACCCAGCTGTAGGTCCTCAGGTCCATCTTGCTTGACAGGAATAGGGCATGACCCCACAGCTGGCTTCTCATGGCCCAGTCCAGGGCTTCCTACAGCCAAGAGAAAAAAAAATGTCCTGTTACCATTTCTCTCTCTCCCACTGCTGTGAAAGGAAGGTCCTGACTTTCCAAGGCCTAGCATGGGACCTACAGCCTGATTCCCCTGGCCTAGGGCTTCCACCCATCTGCAGGGAGCCGGGCTTGTGAGAAATGAATTGATTTTTTCCATGGGTGTAATATATCCCCCCAAACGTGGGGCCAGCTCAAGCCTGCAATGGATGATGTGACTGTTGGGTTTACTCATCTGGAGCCAGCTTAGAGAAATTATTCTCCATCACCCAGGCCTCCTTATGTTTATTCCTACCAGTACAAAAGTATTAGTGCTGTCCCATTGACTGCAAGCTTCAGGCTGCCTATTAGTACTTAATGCCACAAAGTCAGAGTTCTAGACTGGGCACTAAAGCCTTCTCTGAACTAGAGGTTTTCCTTCCCACCATTGCTACCACCGGTTCAGCTCCAACTGTGATAGCAAACGCAGGAGCTCTTAGATGAGATGCCCTTGGCCATTATAGTTTGGAACACTGTGCCCCAAAAGAGCTGGAACTAGGGGTGCTGGAGGGGTTGCTGCACCCCCTAGCTTGAAGTGGTTTCCTTCACACACGGGTTTTACAGTTTGGTTCAATGGCTCTCAGGACCCCCACTATACAAATTGTTCCAGACCCCACCCCAATCAGGTTTAGCTGTCATGCTGGTTATCGACAGCAGAGCTCCTGCAATTGCTATCATCAGTGGTGCTGCCCTGGTGTTAGCAACAGTGGGACACTTCTGCCCTAATGCCAATTCAGGGGTTAATTCCACAAACAGGGTGTGACATTATCTGATTAAAATATGACCATATAGATCATTGTTGCTACCGCTATTCTATAATTGCAACAAATCTTGTACAAAGTATGTCAAGTAAGGTGTCTATGGAAAGGTTATGATTTGCTGAATATGATTATGCTATTTGTATGCTATTTTGTATCTGACGTTATGATTATTAGCTATGTACTTGTATTTCAAATGTTTGCTCCTGTGGTAACACCCACAAGGTATTTAGCCAGCACATTGTGAAGGAACTATTCAAGTTGAATGGCCCATCAAAGAACACTTAACTTACAATGGACCATGGAAGATGCCTATCTACACTTAATGAACTTTTCTGGGGATATTCTAACTAGAGTATGAGTAAGTGCCTCTGCTGTGACTAAGCAAAGCATGCAGTATTGTGACTTGCCCATGTGACTCCAAACTCCATCTTGTTACCTGTAATTTTCCACAAACTAGAACAATGGGTTTCCCTTCACTTGGCAGAAGCTATAAAAGGCCCTTGAAACATCTCCATTTTGCCTCTTTCCTGCTCAAACCTCTGGACTATGGACTTATAATAATGGAAGCATTCTAACCAAGGGACTGAGGACCTTCCAATGATTTGGAAGCAATCATAGATTTAACAAGCCAGCAGTTTAATTCCATCACTGCTACAAGCCTGATCCAAGAACTTTGCAATTGTCGTATGTATTTGATTTCTTTAACCAATTTTAACTCTCACTTTTCTTTTTTTCTTTTTTATAAATTAACCTTTAGATTTCGGGATACTAACAGATTGGAACGGCATGATTATTGGGTAAGATCTGAGTTATATATTGATCTGGGTATGTGGCTGGTCCTTTGGGATCAGAAGAACCTTTTGTTTGATTAAACTGGTTTTAAATAACCACTCATCATTAAGTCTAGTGTCTGGGTGTTGAATCCAGGACTGGAATACCTAAGGAGGCTGCATTTCTGACTTCTTGTTAGCCAGTGTGGTGAGACAGAAGTTTACTTTTGTTGCTGGATTGGTATATCTCATGGAAGAATAACCACCAGTTTTGGGAAAAGCGACAAAGAATCCTGTGGCACTTTATAGACTAACAGACGTATTGGAATCTAGATTGATTCTTGCCTACATATTTATACCTGCCTCTGGAAATTTCCACTACATGCGTCTGACGAAGTGGGTATTCACCCATGAAAGCTTATGCTCCAATACGTCTGTTAGTCCATAAGGTGCCACAGGACTCTTTGTCGCTTTTTACAGATCCAGACTAACACGGCTACCCCTCTGATACTTGACACCAGTTTTGGGGTATGTCTGCCATTTTTCCCAGCAGCTTGTCCTGAATTTGGTATTCTCAGTTGTGATCCCCTAAGGCATGGTGACACAGGGACCTTCCTTAGCCACTACCACCCATTAGAGCCCTCTTTAAAAGACAAGCCAATGTTAGACTGGGCCAAGGGAGGATTAGCAATAGACGCCACACTGCAGTCAGAGACAGACCTGGGCCCAATCCTCTGGCTCTCTGAGCCAGTCAGAGTTACAGGAGCACTGTGGAGGTATCACTGCCAGCAACGCCGCAACGCCCCCCCTCCCCCCCCGCCAATCAATTACAGAGAGAGGTTCATGGACCTGGAAAACCCACCTTTTCCTCTGCAGGCAGTGAAAACGTTAGAAAGGGAGCAGTGGGGAGTCTCCGGACACAAGTGTGCATGCACCCTACTTACTTTCTTTCTGCCATAGAAGAGAAGCTTGGTGAATTTCTCCACTCTCTGCTCTGGTGTCTCCATGCTGGGTGGGATCTCCCCAGTGAGGAGGTCTGGTGTCCCAGAGCCCTGCACTGGCCACTCTTCATTGGTCAGGTTGATCAGATTGGCCACTGGCTCTTGCCTTTTATACTTCTCCAGGCGCTTGCAGTCTTGCATCAGCAGCTCAGCTGTGTCTGAGCCCACCATGGACTGCACAGGGAAATAGAGGAACATGAGAACTGCCATCTTAGTAAAGACCAGTGGCCCATTTAGTCAGGTATCCAGCCTTGGCCAGTGAACAACACTGCATAATATGGAGGTAGGTATAAATCCGCCCAAATGCACCACACCAATTATTACCATACTATGGGGAGTAATTCCTTCCTGACCCACCACTCCTGGTCAGTCTATTCCCTGAAGCATGAGGATCGGTGGCCCATATGATTTTTATCCTAGTGAGTGTCATTAAAGAGTCTATTCTTAATCACATATACATAATGTTAGTGGAGAGAAAGTCAAGGCAACGAGTCATCAACCAGGGACATAATAGCAAAAATCAAACTTTAGATATCTCAGTGGTCTGGTCCTGATTCCTTCTAACATTCAGTGGCAGGCCTCCCGCAGATTGGGTTTGATACACTAATCTCCTTCTGGACAGAAATGTTGTCTCCTAAATTAAGTTGACAGTGTCCCTTTAGGTGCTGCTGTTCCATTGGAACATTGGTATTTCAAAAGTGCTGCACCTGGTTTGGGTGAGCAGCCCTGGAGAGGTGTGTCTTCTATGTACCTGGTGCTTTGGGCTGCACTGAAGTGGTCAGCATTAATGGGGGAGTGAGATGCATTTAAGATCCCCCACAGCAGCACTTGGCTGCTTCAGACACACAAAAGGGATTCTCACAACGAGCCATCCTTAACTGAACCAAAAAGACTAATAAGGACTGGCACTCATCACAATGCATAAAGAACACACACCCCATTCTGCCGGCAAAGGAGGACCAAGAGTTTCCAGAGCAGGGCTGAGTCTCTGCCTCTCTCAGTCTCCAAATCACAGCTCATGGCTGCTTTGCGCTGGCAAAATGTCATCACATCCACCTTGTGCAAATCCTCCCTGCAGGAACAAGAAAGAGGGTGTTGGCAAGTGCAAGGCAGGACATCCTTAACAGCATAAGGGAGGATTCCCAGAACTCTGTGAGTTATGTGGAGGACTCCAGAAAATTATTCAAGGAGAGGTAGAAAATCAGAGATGTTCACATGCATATCAATAACACCACTATGCATCCGTCAGCCAAAACATGTAATAAGGCTGGTTATTACAATTCCCATTTTGCAGATGGCCAAGCCACAAAGGTTTAGAATGTATCCGAAATCCCTTCTTTGTGTACCTGTGACATTTTTAACCTGATCCAGATCAATCTATCTGCAGAGAACATCACAGCTGATTGGGCTCTAGCACCTACAATGCCACTCCACTAATATTGTCTCCTTCCACTGTGCTATTAACCTCTGGTCCTCAGACTTCCATCCAGCCTCTGTGCTTGCTCAATGCTTTTTGTAATTTCATTGCTCTTCTTCTGTTTTATCTCTCAGCTTTTCTCATGAGTGACTGAACGGCATTTCAGTATAAGCAATGTGATGCAGAGCAAACCTGATTGAACAATGATGGGTTGAGGGAAGATGTTCCCCAGGTCTACACTTACTGAAGCTCAGCTCCCAAGGAGCACAACATCAGGCTTCAGTTCTGCAGAGCATGAGAGAACTGAAACACCTGCTCATCCAAACCACTGGTTGTACAAAGATCGTGGATGTCCCACAAGCCCTTCTTACAACCCGGGTTTCCCTGGACTTGGTTACGAAATAACAGTCAAACAATGTTCTCTGAGCATTCCCAATAGAGCAAACCCACAGATCCAACCAACCACACGCACATTTCTGGATCTGGATCTGGATCTGGACCTGGACTTCGCCGATGGTCCTTATCTTTACAAAGGGCCTAGTCAAAACCCTGGGCCTGAACACCCTGAGGCTTTGGGGACTTTGAAACATGAATCCAAATTACATGCTTGGGCTCATCTCTAATTCCAGGTGACCATATCCTCCTTTAATGGTCAAGCTGTGTGTGTAGCAGCCTGAAGAGAAGCTGAATGCTGGGAAAGAAAGGAATGCTGATAGGGGACATGGTTTACTGTACACCTCCAATGGCATTGTACCTGACCAGAGGCCCTGGGAAGGCTCGCATCTCCTCCTGCTCTTTGGTGTCATGAAGGATTACCTAGGAGGCAAGAGCAGAGACTGTGACCAAGGCCCTGTCTGAAAGTTAAAGTGCTTTGGCAAAGGCTTTACTAGTACTGGGGATGCTTTTCTCAAAGCCATCTTTGGGCATATGTGTTATCTCGGAGCATATGCACTGACGTGTTTACCACCTTGATCCACACAACTATAAGAAGCAATTGCCTTTTACGATGGGATCTGGCTCCTATAATTGCAGTCCTTTGAGAGGGAGAAGGCACCAGCTCAGAGGGGAAAAGAGGGGCAGATGCTGTGGAACACAATCTATCTAAGGTGCTTATATGGCTCCCATCGCTGCTATCTTTAATGTATTTATCCTCCCACCACTCCTGGGAGGCAGGGCAGGGTTATTACCCCCCAGCACAGATGAGGAACTGAGGCACAGGGGACTTGCCCAGGGTCACACAGGAAGTCTGTGGCAGAGCAGGGACTTGAGCCCAGATCTCACAAGTCCCATGCTAGTGCCCACCAGACCATGCTTCCTCAAATTGTCTCCTAAGAAGAGAGTTGTGACTCCAAGGCCTCTGGCTCAATGGGACCAGTCATTTGGATGGCTACAGGGTCCAACCCAGGTCACTCACATAGGGAATCTGCCAATAAAAGCAATCTGTGCAGAACCTGGAACTGGGCCTCAGTGTCTCATTCAAGGAACTGTAAGAACCAGAATAGCCCTACTCCTGTGTGAGATCCCTCTGTCTGTGCTATGGCCAAGGGCTCCAAAGCAGAGTTCAACCACAGCTTTGGGTTATTCCATTTAACGACGGCAGAGCATGCCGGCAAAACATGCAGCCCGCTGTGAAGGTGCACACAATGTCCTCTTGAGCCCAGGTTAAGGACACTGCTCAACCCTAAAGACTTAGTCACCTTAAGGTGTGGCTAGTTCCTAAGGGCATGTCTCCATGGGGTGGGGGTGGGGGGTTGATTTCTAAAGCGCACTAACATGTTGTTCCTTAACTGGTCTGTGTAGATCAGGGGTAGGCAACCTATGGCACATGTGCCGAAGGTGGCACGTGAGCTGATTTTCAGTGGCACTCACACTGCCTGGGTCCTGGCCACTGGTCCGGGGGGCTCTGCATTTTAATTTAATTTTAAATGAAGCTTCTTAAACATTTTAAAAACCTTATTTACTTTACATACAACAATAGTTTAGTTATATATTATAGACTTATAGAAAGAGACCTTCTAAAAACGTTAAGATGTATTACTGGCACGTGAAACCTTAAATTAGAATGAATAAATGAAGACTTGGCACACCACTTCTGAAAGGTTGCTGACCCCTGGTGTAGATCCTGCTGCACTTTACCATAGCACTATTTGCAACAGTGAGACGTGGGTGGGAAGGGAGCTGGCACTGCTCAGGGAAATGGAGAGACAGCCAAAACTCAGATGCCTCAGGGTTAAAGGGGCAGTGCGGGCAGGGGATGGGAGGGTACAAAGGGTTACGGGGCAGTGTGGGTAGGGGATGGAAAAGTATGAGAGGTTACAGGGGCAGTGCGGGCGGGGGATGGGAGGGTACAAAGGGTTACGGGGCAGTGTGGGCAGGGGATGGAAAAGTATGAGAGGTTACAGGGGCAGTGCGGGCGGGGGATGGGAGGGTACAAAGGGTTATGGGAGGGTACATGAGATAATGGGGCAGTGGAGGCGGGAGATAGGAGGATACAAAGGGGTTATGGGGCAGTGCAGGTGGGATGGGATGGCAGCTCTCAGTTGCAGGTGGCTGGGTGGTTGGTTACCTCCAGGCTGTGCATTTCAATGAGGGCAGGCTGCCCATCAGCCGGGGAGTTAGGGCACACTCGGACCAGCTGGCCTCCTGCTCCAAAGCACACTGGCACGTGAGGGAGGGAATACTTCTGGGGTGCAACGTGGTGCGGAGTGGACAGCAAGACTTCCTCTAAACAGCAACAAATGCACACAGAGGTCAGAGCCAGCCCTTTCACAGCCACTCAGCAAGCTTTGTTATTGGGGGAAAGCCCTAGGGACAGCACCTGACACGCTTCCGGGCAGCACCAAGCTTTCTTTGCCAGCTGGTACGGGGGCCAAGGCCCCAAAAACTGTGCCAGGCAGAATTCAGGGAAACAGCCCTTCTCTGAGCTGACTGAAGTCCCTACCAAATCTAACACTGGGTTATATGGACATACCCTACAGTACTGCTGGGCGATGCCCAGCATCCCCCTGTACTTTCCACATGCTGCTTTCTAAGTGCGATTTTCTGCACCATTAGGTGCCTTAAAAGCTTTTTAAAATCTGGCCCTAAGCATCAGTAATGGCCATTCGGAACTTCCCATGATGCTTTACAGGCTCATATGTGAGGGCAACAGCCATATTCTCATACAGCCCACTGTCCCCACCATGAGAGCGTCTACATGTGCCTGCCCCCGCCCCCGGACGCCTGGTGCCCTCACCTCACACCCACCTGTTTGAACTGGACTCCAGGTCTCTGAAGGATCTGGGTGGTACTGATTGGGAGAGTCGCACATGTACTGACTGAGTTCATAGCTGCTGGAGCTGAGGCCAGATTCCTTGTACTGCACGAGCCGGCTGAGCTCACGTGGGGCGGGGAGCTGAGGGAAAAGAGAAGCCACAGGAGCCATGGGGAAAGGGAAGCAGAGAAAATAGCAGCCTGAGGGAGCCAGACTGGGAAGGTGGGAGGAGAGACTGGCAAGAGGGGTGAGAGTTGCTTTGTGTGGAAATGGAGCCATAACACAACAAACACATGTTGCACCTATACAGTGTGACGGTGCCCAGGTTGGCCAGCGCTGGTACTGGACCAGCGCCTGCAGAATGAACAATGAGGGTCTCTCCAGCTTGAGCTAAACTGCTTAGTCTCAAGCTAAGAGCTGTAACCGGCTTGTGTCCTCTGCGGATCTGGCACAGGGGGACAGACATCGCCCCCACTGATGAGCATGGTACAGCAGCGCCTCCCCTCAGATGATCTCAAGCACTTTAAGGTCTAAAACTCTTTTAGTCACGCTTTGCTTGTTCCCGGCGGTTTTGATCAATATGATTCAGATCCTCCGTTGGTGTAAATCCGCATAGCTCCATTGACTTCAGTGGAGCTATACCAGTTGACATCAGCTCACCCACTAGCCTACTACCTCTCACCAATCTGACGCAGACACCCCATATGGCTGTCACCTGCTCCTCAGGAAGCAAATGAGCATTTTCTAGATATGTTTTGTCATTTGATCATTTGCAAAATGCAGTCACTCAGACAGAGTCTCCTGTCACTAGTGGAAATAAGCAGTGTCTGTCATAGGCAGCTGTCACCACCTCTTCTGGGAGCAAGTAACCGTGCTGCTGGACAGTCCCCTGGTGTGGGGAGGGAATGGACGAAAATAGAGGTCCTAGAATAACAGAGGGTGGAGAAATCCACCAAGACCAGCCTTTGGGCCAGTTCTAGGTGCAGCAAGGGTGGGCCCTGCCTCCAGATGCCATGGGGTGTGCAACTGACAGCCCTACAGAAGGAGACTTTGTGATAATGATACTAATAGCCCTTCCATCTTGTTTCCAGGTGAGGCTCTCAAAGCACTCTGCAAACAGTAATGTATCAACGCTGGAAGGTGGGGAAGTAACACTACCCCCATTTTGCAAACTGGGAAATTGAGGCAATGGGAGGTGAAGACATTTGCTCAAGGTCACACAGAGAGTTGGTGGTAGATCCAGGGATAGAACTCAGCCCTCCTGACTGCCTGGTCCCTGTTCTAACAACTACGCAACACTCCCAAACAGATGGGCTGACAGACACTCTCCAAAATCTCCAGAAGAACCTCAGATCTCCGACTCATCTGTCTCTCTGTAGTTACCTCATATGGCTGGAAGCTGGCATCCTCCACGCAGTTCCCCCGGGCTTCCTCCCCAATCTGTTCCTGCCTGGGAGTAGAGATGTACTTCTCCTCATAGGTGCTGTAGCTCTTTGAGCTGTGGGAGGGAACAGAATGCCAACCCAACATGAGGGCAGATGTGCCATGAGCCGTCCACAGAACCCACTGCAGATGTGCTCATCAAGTTCCAGTACTGATGACTTTCCTAGGTGAAAAGCCAGTGGCACGTGTGCTGCTGCCAGATGGGGGTGAAGACTCCCTCTCTTTATTCAAGGGAAATGAGAATACACAGAACCGGCTTGCTAGAACAGACAGTCCCCTGCAGAAAGGGACAGAGCTGTAGTTTTGCAGTCCAATGGCACGGATTCTGGCTGCATCCTGCCAAGATGAAGAGCTGTGTACTGAGTACTAAGGGCCAGATTTTAAAGGTATTTAGGCCCCTAATGAGCCAGATCGGCACCTAGTGGGATTGTCTGCACCATTAGGTGCCTTAAGAGCTTTTTAAAATCTGGCCCTCAGCATCAGCCCTCTTCTGGCTGCAATCACACAGGCCAAGCCACTGAAACGCAATTCACTGTCATCATTGTTTCCTGCGTGGGGTCAGTGTATCTGGTGCTGGACAGACACAGTCTCTGCCCAGTACAGTTTTTAATCTAGAGGCCTGATCCAAAGCCTTTTAAAGTCAATGGGAGTCTTTCAGTGGGGACCGGATCAGGCCCTAGAAGCGCTAGGATGGCTAGCCCGACGCTAAGCATAGATAAGGCACAGGGAACCCTTTCTCCCCTGCCACATGCACACATCATAATCCCACTGCCTGTGTCTTAGGAAGCTCAGGGTGGGGATGTGGCTAGTACTGCCCAAAGCTCTAATCAGCTCCGCAGAGCACGTGACTGAGCAGGGCCGGGCCATGCACACTGACAGAGCGATGCTGTGGGAACCCCGGCTGCACCAGGTTTGAAACACAGTAGAGGACGTCCTTGAAACTGACCCAAGAGGCTATTTCAAGAGTGATCTAATGGTGACACCATGGGAAGCTGCAGGAGAGCCAGCGGGCACCGTGTATGCACAGTAACACAAAACAGCTTGGGCCAATGGAGCCGCCGGTTGCATAACTGAGACTTGGGTCACATAACTTGCTTGGGTCACAACTCACTAGGCAAACCACAACAGAGTGTGCAGCATGGGGTCCCACTGGCACGTAGCTACTAGAGACATTCCATCCCAGTGCATCTGGGATAACAGCATAACCGCGCACTCCCATCTATCACGTGTTATTGCTTAGGTTTTGAAGGGGGAAGTTGGAAACCTGCCTGCAAAGCTCATGCACAGACATTAGGTTCTTCCCTTCCCATTCTAATCACCCTTACCGGTATTGTGCCACATCGTTCTGCCCAAATGGGCTGGTATCCTGGTCATGATGGGAGTCTCTGTAGTAGTTCTGATCCCAGTAATTCATGTGCCTGCCATAAAGATCTTCGTGCCTTGGATCTGCACACTCAGAGAAAACCACCATAAAGATCTAGTATTTTTCTTTAGTGCAATTAGTATTAACGAAGTTTTAAAAGGGACAACATTGAGTCAGGATTTGTCATTTGCACTCCATTGCTTCCAAATTATTCTGCCTAGTTAGTACAATGATATATATATTTGTGTGTGTGTTTGTGTACGTACAATACACACCTATAAATTACATGCACAGTAACAGACATCCCTTCCTTCACATTTCCTTTAGCCCAGAAATGTCATTAGGCTGCTAGCTCTGATCATGCAGCGAAATCAGCATTATCCTACACTGTCTGGGACCAGTAACGACTTGGTGCTTCACCGGCTACATGGCACTCAAATGCTCCTGTATGTCACTGCTGTAGCTGTCTCTCAGAGATGCAAACCCAAGTCAGTGCTCACATCATGAGATCAGGATTCAAGGGCTGAGAACGGAGGCAATGAATTCAGCTCCTCAGGAGGAGGAGAACACCTTGAGATGCTCTTTGGAAAGCCCATCCAATCAAGAAAAGGTGAGTAGCTGGTTCTGGAGGAGGCAACAACCAGCTCTCCTCCTCTAAGAGGGTTGGGCACCATGACATAGAGACATATGTATGTCAGAGAAGGGACGCATCATACAGGCCTAATGCTAAAAGAATGGTCAGGAATTGCCAACACAACAGACTAATAGACTGGCCAGGCCAGCAAGAAACAGCAAGCAAAGTAGTTTTCATTTCCTAGAGGAACATACAGTACCTCTCTCATGCTGCAGTACTTGGGAGGGTCTGTGATAACCTCTGTAAGCGTAGTCTTCCCCAGAGCTTGGCGATGGGTAGCTCCAGTAGGGGTCCTCATAGCCTTGCCTGAAATGAATCCCAAATATACAAAACAGAGAGGGCGGAGAATCAAAAGGAGAGCAAAAGAAAGGAATCCCCATCAGAACTATATTGGCACTGGGCAGCTCCCATGCCCTCAGATCCAGATCCAAACAGAGGATCAGGAGACAAGTCCTGCATCAGAACTAGAACTAGGGTCAGGACACCAGATTCCATCCAGGATCAGTTCCAAGGTGAAAGGCCAAGGAATCAGGTGTGGAATGAAATGCCGGGTTAGGATTCCATCCCAGTCTGAGATCTTTGGGACTCGGTTGTGAAACGAGGTCAATGAAATAAATGCCAGGGTCTCATCAGCCCTATAATCAGCTGCAGTGTCACAGTCAGGGCTATTGTCAATGTCAGAGGTTAGGGTGAGCATTCTGAAGCACGGAGCAAGAGCAGGAGGTTTGGGGGTCAGATTCCCGTCGCCTCCTGTTCTTAACAGAGGAGTGTCGCCCTCCAGGCCACTGGAGCCCTGCCAGCTTTGGTGGAATTCTGGAATCGTTTGGCTGGACACCTCTGGAATATCCCTAGGAGCTCTGCTGGAGGGACCCACCCTCATGAGCAGTTTAGGAGATTTGGAGAAAAGAACCTCTTTCCTGCAAAAATTTGAAGTTGCCATGCTCCTAAGGGGCTTCCCAGTAGGGCCCCCTTCTCTGCTGACAGGGCCGGCTCCAGGCACCAGCCCACCAAGCATGTGCTTGGGGCGGCACCTGGAGGGGGGCAGCGTGGCGCTCTGGCCCGAGAGTGGGCCGCGACTGGGCTCGCCGCCCTCCCCACGGCGCTCTGGCCGCCGGGGAGAACGGAGCCGCGGC